AGACAAGTACCAGGAGCTAGAAAAGAGGATGACCTACAGCCTGCAGCGCCTGCAGAGACACGACTGCAGCGTCGCCCCACCACTGCGTACCTCTTTCCCCCATCCCCAAGCACTTGTGCTGTCACCCCGTTACGTCCCCATGAGAGGAAGGACCAGGATGGCCGGGAGGCAGAAGTGAAGCTGTCCCAGCCCCACCGAGCTCATTTTGACCCCGGCGAGTGGCAGTGCAGCCAGGCAGGTGTTTACCTCTTCTTGCTTGCAGCGTAATGGATTCGGCTCTTCTGCATCTGATCAGCAGCTCTGAGTGCTTCGAAAGGTGACGAGTGAAATCGAACAGTTTAAAACAATTTAACGTAAGCCACCTGGGAAGTGGCTGATGGAGAAGCCCCCTCCCACACCACATATATCGACCGCTCAAATCTCCCAGTGAGCACCTGGAGCAGCCCCCAGGGCTCCTTTGGGGATGTAAACAGCCACAACTCGGCATCCCCATACCCACACATGCACCCAGCAGCCCCGGTGAAACTGGCCCATCCCAATGCCATTTTGCATCGTGCCACCCTGGCACAGCCGCCGATTCAGCAGCTGCTCCTGGGAACAGCTCTTCCCCAAAACCACCCGCTCCTCCCGCCCGCATCACCCCCAAAAACACAGGTGAGACACCGACTTTAGCAAAAATGTTTAATCTCTCCTTGATGCGTGTGTTTATTTACAAGTACTAAATCTGAAGAACATTAAAATAGGAAATAGCAGGATATTTACACGATCAAAGGGCGTTCGACCAGCCACGCTGGCCTGTTGCTTCAAGTCTGAAACAATCACAGAAAGGTAATCAGGACTCCGGATTATTATATTTTTTTTCCCCATTTAATTTTTTAAAAGTATTAAAATTCTCTGCCTTTCGCCGGGTCCGCATTAGGATCCCCCCCCCCGCCTTCTTAAAGGACAGCTCTTTGTGCGCTTTGGTGGGAGCGGGTGAGCCCGGGGTGGGTCCCGCCACCCGTCCCCCTGCTCCCTGTCCCCAGGCTGGGGCCAGCCCCCGGAGTGGCACAGGGGACACCGGGGCCAGGCACGGGGGACGCTTCCAGGCTGGACTGCACTTTTTTTTAAACGCCAAACTGAAGAGAAAAAGCAATGGGAGCAGAGGGGGACAGGGAGGGACCCGCTTGGTGCCGTGGTCGGGGATCAGCCCACGCGGTCCAGCTGCCTCCGATGGCGGGGGGCAGAGCGGATGGTCCCCGAAACACAGGCTCAGGGCGGGGGATGCTTCTCCGTCTCACCCTATTTTGGGGCACTGGCGATACCACCGGTAAGAGGAGTCCTGCGAATGCTTCCCAGCTTCTCCCCGCTTCTCCCCGTTCCTAGGCAGGGTTAGACGAGGACGGCCAGCCCGGCTCTGCCCCCCACCAGGCTGGGGCGAGGGAGGAAGGACGGGCTGCCTGGCACGATTAAGGACACTGGGCATCGCATGAAAGGCAAAGGTAGCACCAAGAAGCACCGGAGGCTGCAGGCAGCATTGCAATGCCCACCTTGCTGACCACCACCCTCCCTGTTAGAGGCAGCAGGGGGACCCTGGAGGGGTGGAGAGGTGCTGGGGGGAACCTTTGGTGGAACAAACCGCAGACACCCCAAAGCTCCCCAGGAAGAAACCAATGGGAACCTATCCGCGGGACCACGCTACGGGCTCTCAGCATCGCCATGGGGCAGGAGGACCCAGGCCACAGCGCAAGGGGAGCCGGGAGCACAGCCACACCATGGCACTGCCAGCCTGCCCGGCAGGACCCCCTCGGGAACCTCTCTGCTGCCCAAATCCAACCCAGGCCCACCGCGGCCAAGAAACCCGCCTGTCCCTCCAGCTGGCCGAGGAAGCACCCACAGCATTGCTGCTGGGAAAGCAACAGGCTAATAAACCCTCTGCTCTTACCAGTGCTTCCAGCCCTCGTTCATCAACAAGGAAATTTTCAGGAAGATGCTCTTAGAAACACACCTCCACCCCTGCCAACCAGCAATGGCGAGGGTCCCACCGTCCCCTCTCAGTCGTCACAAAAACTACACGCTCGGCTCCCTCAATGGCAACCGAAGCTCCCCAAGATACTCTTACCACTGCAACAGGTAGGACCCACGCCACTTTCAGATAGAGACTTCAAAGCCACCGCTCCCCTTCCACCAGATCGCAATGACCACCAAGGCACGGCCGCCGTCCTCCGGGCGATTTCCAGGACCTCTGCCAACACCACCCACCGGGCAGCGGCACGAGGAAGAAGCTTTGGGCCAACCTTGCACCAAAGGGAGCCGCAGGCACCTCTCCGCCCCATCGCAGCGGCAGCGAGTTCTGCAAAGGACCCCCCGGGAGGATTTGGTCCCCCCCAGAGAGCCCAGGGAGATGCCGGCAGCCAGCGGTGGCCCCAGCACAGGGCAGGTGGGCACACAGCTGTCCTTTAAGGCTCTCCGAGTACCACATTTGAGATGTGAACCTCTGAAGTCTTTCTTTTTGCTTTTTGTTGTTTGTTTTGTTTTTTTTTCTTTTGGACAAGAAAGTGACAAATTAATTTCAAATAAAAAAAAAATAGATAACAGGTCTAAACAAACCTCTAATATTCAACACTTGCAGTTTTTTTGTTTTATGATTTTTTTTTCTTCTGTTTCTTAAAAAGATCAACTCAGACTAAAATCTAGCACAGTCATGCAACAGCCCACAGCTCTCAGAAATCCAGCGACAGCTCGGGGTTCATAGGTTTGGGAAACAATTATTACTTCTTTTTCAAACATAGTTTTGCTGTTGTGGTTGGGTTTTTTGTTGTTGTTTTTTTTTAATCATCATCTTCTCCTTTCCCTCCTTATTAAAACAAAACAAAACCAAACAAAACTACAACATAATGAGAGATGTGCAGGCTTCAAACAATGTTCTGCATGGTGAGAAAGGCTTGGAAATTTCTTCCAGACAATTTGGTATCCTTTTTTTTTTTGTATTGTTGTTTGTTTTGTTTTATCTGGCTGTGTAAATTCATTTCATATTTATATTGGTTCAATTCTCCTTCAGTTAACTATACAGCACCCCACTGGGGCACGAGAATTAGATTGTAACCACATATATATATATACACACTTTTATTATTTTTTTTTTAATTAAAAACTTCATTATTTCTCCCTCTCCCCCCCTTAACTTGTGATTTAAGGGAACGGACAGAAATCAGCTGGGCTTCCTTCCACTTGGATTTCGACAGCCACCCGCTCCTGGCAGAGTTTGGCCCCATCTGCTGTGGCCTGGGCAGTGGCGAGAGCTCTCGGTACAGAAAAGGAAAGGGTTTTCCTCATTTTTTTGGAAGTTTTTGGTCACCTGCTGCCATTCAGGGCAGCATTCGGCACCTTTTCATCTCTGGAAAGCACAAGCCCGCGAGGATCTGATGTTTCGAAGCGGGCAGCCAAGGGAGAGACCTCGGGTTTCCAGCGAACCCCCCGGCAGGGCGGAGGCGGCGGAGGCAAGACGGGGTGACAGCAAGGAGAGAAAGGGGGAGAAAGAAGCAAAAGACAGAGAAAGAAAGGTCAATCTGGGGCGGGAAGTCCTGCACACGTTTGGGCTTCCCAGGCGGAGGAGCGGGTGACAGCCCCGTGGTGGCCGAGCATGCCGGTCCCTCCGTGGGCTGGTCACCCAGCGGAGTTTTCCAGGGGGGATCCTGGTCCGGAGATGCGGAGGAGCTGCCTCCCCTTTCCCCGGGGATCTGGTCCCTTTCCCTGCATCAGCACAAAAAGATGATGGGGTGGTGGTGGGGAAAATAAAGAGGCTTCGTTAAGGCTGCTCCAGCACCAGGGGATCTGCCAAAAAAACCCAGGCTGGCTCTCCACGAACCCTCCCAACAGCCCCCAAGCCGTCCTCCACTCCACATCGTCCCGGGACAGGCAGGGGTGGGCAGTGCTGCCCAGACCTCCCCGTGGCCACCCGACAGGGAAAACGAGGACAAGCTCAACATAACAGCAACCAACCCTCAGTGATCCCCCAGGAAAAGAAAAACCAACCTTGGAATCTCCCTTCCTCTCTGATTGTGACCTCCAGAACCACTCCAGCAGCATTTAAATAAGAGCATCTATTCAGCTAACAAAACTCCCACCTTTTTTTTTTCGATTTTTTTTTTTCTGCACTAAACAACATTCAAATAAAACATGGCACAGGACGTATTTTAGAAATATCAAAGCTCCAGGATTTCTCCCTTTCCTGCCCACCCCTACTGCCCCCACCCCCAAATCTCCCCAGCATCAGTCCTTTAGCTTATTTCTTAAAACCGTTTTTGTTAGTTTGTTGCAAAAATTTAGAATCTTTTTTTTTCCCCTCCCATTTTTTGTTATAATTTTTTTTCTTTAAATTAAAAATCTTGTTTGTCTCGTGTAAATTGTGCAAATATAGCAGTTAACACTAGTGGCAGAAGGCCAGACAGAGAGAGAAGGGGGAAGAGACAGAAAAAGAGAGAGGAGGAGGAGGAGAGGGAGCGGCCAGCTGGGGAGAAGGAGGGGAGAGCAAGTCAAGTACAGTAAAAATAGGAGCCCACCCACCCTCCCTCCACCAAAGTAACAACAACATCCAAACGCCGTCCTAGAAAGCCCCGCGGTCCCGACCCTCCTTCCTTGCGGGCTCAGGGGCTCTGCCCGGGCAAAGGATGCCCAGCGGGTCCGTGGGGCAGGCGACCCCCTTCTCCTCCGCCCGGCATCGCCTCTCTGCAAGGTCCCTGCTGTACCCCGGTTGGATTGGGGGGGTTTTGCGTGTGTGTCAGGGGGTTTTATCGATGTTGCTGCCGTCATCGGGATTTGTTTGTTGTGTTGTTTTTTTTTTTTCCGCTGAAGCGTGAGGTTTCCTTGTTCGTTCGTGGGAAGCGCGCGGAGGCACAGCAGCTCCCGCGGGTCCGGCCGGCCCCAGCCCCAAAGTCTTCTTCTGCCCGCGGCTGCCGCTGGCTGGCCCTCCCTCCCGCCGCCTCCGCTGCCCGGGATGCTGGCACCGCGCCGCTGCCTTCTCAGCTGCTTAAGGCCATTGTGTCGATCGCCTGCTCCAGCTTACTCCTCAGCCGCTGCCTCCGGGCCTGCTCGTCCTTCTCCAACGCAGCTAAAATCTGGGGGAGAGAGGGGAGAAGAGAGGGTGAGGAGATGCCCTCCTACCCAAAGCGGCTCCTCCTTGCCTGTGGCCGCGCCGGCTCATCGACGGCATCGCGCCATGGGGATGCGGCCCCACGGGAAGCGGTGCGCATTTGTTCCCGTGCCTAACGGGGCCAGGAAAGGGCCAAAGGAGGTGCGAGGTGGAGGACACCGCTCTGAGTGCTGCCAACCCCCAGACAGAGCCTCCCGGGACCCCCAAGGGGCTGCAGTAACACCAGGGACCTGCTTGACACTAACGAGAAGCCAACTTGCAGGTGGGGAAACGAAGAAAACAAACATCCATCGTCAAACGGAGGGTGAACACCAAAACCAAGACAACGACACCTTCCCACCATGTCCACGACCTCCAGCAAACCTCTAACGTCCTGGGGAGGCAAGGGGCTGCATTTCAGAGACCACGACCAAGCCACAAACTGGTTCCACGAGCACAAAAAGACCAAATCCACGAGGCTTCAGCTGCCGCCAGTGGTAAAACCCTGCTCCTCTCTCCCCAGGGTGGACGACTGGGGAGCACTGAGGTGATGGAGGGGGGGCAAAGCCTGCCTCGCGGCGAGCCCTCAGTCCTGTGCAAGGGGGGCACCCACAGACATCCAAGAATGACTTTCCTCCTTTGAAATCCCCTTTCTCTAAACAAGCTCGTGGCCAGGGTGACAGATCACAGGGTGGAGGGATGGTCCCCTGCCCTGGGCTGGATGCGGCCATGCCTCCAGGGCCAGCGGAGGACTGGCAGCAGTGGGAGGGTAGAGGACGAGGCTCAGAGTGGGGAGAAGGCAGTAATGAAGCGTAAAACAAAGGGGCAGTTGCCCTCCCAGCAGCCAGGAGCCTCGTCTCACTAACATCATGCCAGTAGAGCAGAAAAGCTGATTTAAAAAAACAAACCTGACAGAAATCTCATCTCCTCGGGTGAGCTAGTTGAGAGAACAAATTTTTTGCAATTAAATATCAAGGCATCCGTCAAAGGGGACTTGATTAACCATTTCATTGGCCACATAATTGGAAACAAACTGTTGTATAATTAATAGACTTACTAGGAGGCAGGCAAAGTCCATCAGGAGCCCTACAGGTAACTTCTTAATGGGGAATCAGCTCCCTTTGATTAAGAGCTGCAGCAGCGCCGGTGGGTCGCGGAGCGGCATGCAGGGCGTGCTGTGCAGCATCCACCATGCTGCCATGCAGCAGCCTCCAGCCACCGGCAGGCTCTGGCTCTCCACCAGGCTTTTTGGGACAGGACCAGGCTGGTCCCTGTCTGGCGGGCCAGTAAGAGATGCCCGATGGAGAATCTCTTCCCAAAGGGAAGGGGAAAGCTGCATCTCGACACCGGCGTCACCTCCCGAGGAGGGGACAATTCACCAGTGAGTCGGGCACATCTGATTTACTTCCCCTGGCAGCTACGACCCTGGGCTGCAGCTGGACTCGCGAGAGCTCATAGATTCTGCCACAAACCTGCTACCGGGGACACTCCCCCGCCATCCATCTCTGCAGCCGCTGTTGGCCATCACGCTACACACAGAATAAAATAACTGTAATAACACTCATGCAGAAATCAAAACCCCACGTGCCTGAAAGGTGGCTGAGCTGGAACCAAATGAGATTGGTCTGAGAAGTAGAAAAGGAGTCTATTCCCCCCGCCTGCCTCCTCTGCCTCTCCCGGTAAGACAGCTGTGTATCCTGGGATACTGAGGTGTGGAAAGATTCACAACCTGCCCCTGCATTTATTTGCTCCTCTTTTATCTCAGCCTTACGGAAACAATGCAGTCAAAGGAAACCTGTGCTGAGCATAGAGACAGACCCAGGTTTGTCACCTGCTGTAAGGAGCCAGGACCACTGATTACCAAGATGCAAGTACCCAAATGAAAATTAATTATGATTTTCATTCACAGCCAATGACAGCATATTATTGCACTGAACAACAGGAAAAATTATACTCTCCCATTTTGCATCAAAGAGGGTGCAATCGGGCTGCATATAATTGTGCTTAATGAATGAAAACAAACAAAGGGAACAGCTGTGATTTATTAATCCCATTACAAATAATAAAAGAAGTTCCTGAGAGCTGTGAACACACTTGTGATGCTCAGAGAGCGAGCGACTGCAAGACACTCAACAGATGTCAGGCTGCCATTAGTGGGCAAGAAGAGGACCTGTGCCCCTAAAGAGCATTTCATTAATGCCACATGGTCCCCTCCCTGCTCTCACCCAGGGCTTGGAGAATTTATTTAAGGCTTGGGAGACTTTTAGCCTGGAGGAAGTGACACTTGATGATGGCTGAGGGCTGACGGCTGCCCCACAGCCAATCTAGATCCTCCACACTGCTCCTCTTCCACTCTTATGGTAGCCACAGAGCTGTTGTACAAACTGTAAAACCCCAAAAACCCTTCACTGCCAACTCATCACATAGTGCCATAGGGGCCTACTTGATGTGCTATCCCAAGTTGTTTGGGGAGTGGCACAGAGGTCCCACTAGCACGGTCATCAGTACATGGCCACCAGCTGCACGGTGACCACCACGTGCCACCTTCCCAAGCACCAGGGTCTCCTGCCATCTCTGTAGGCAAGCCAGGCCCTCCTCCTCCTCACTCCTGCAGAGTACCTAGCTCCACAAGGATTTTGGCCACCACGGTCCCAGCAGTGACCTTAGACACAGGGGCCAGGTCTGCTACAACCTTTCCGTGGACTCCCTAAATTCACACCTCAAAGAGGCGCTGGGAGATGCCTCTCAGGATTGCAGGGTACGATGGGGACCCCGTTTCCTCTTCCTGCAGGGTGAGACGCCGGCTTTCCCGGCTCTCTCCGAGCGAGGAGATGTTCTGGCACTCTGTCACCTAAATAAGCCACCATTCAAACACAGTCATCAATCCCCTTTATTGGGACAATAAAACCTATACTATCATGTTATATGTATAGATCCATATTTTACTGTAGTTACATATTTTATTGCTTTAATAAAAAGATGCAGGGTGTGGATTTCAGTGGTGCTTTACAAAGTTAATTTGTATGAATTACAACAGAGGGGTTTTTAACTATTCTTACTGATGTTCACAAAGCAAGCACTGAAGAGGCCACCACATCCTCTAGCATCCCCAGGGAGCAGAGCCAGATGCCGCCTGTATAATCACACGATGTTGGTACCACCGTGGCACCGGGTCAGTGGCAGCGGATAGAGGAGGCACACTGAGGTAACGCCGCGAATTCTGCAGCCCCATGGGGCTCGTGCCAAATGTGTAGAAAAATAGGTGTTCCCCACGTTACTCCCTGCAGAAAATATGGGGAATGAAGCACTGCCTACACCAGCGCCTGGCTCCACGCCTCCCAAACCTTTCCTTCCCCACCAGCCCAAGCACACACATGGACTAGTTTGCTCTCTTGCATTTCATGGGGTGTTTTTCTGTAGGAAAAGTGTGGGACTGCAGAAACATGGGCAAAGGGACACAGTTCATAGCCCAGGCTTGAATCCCCATCACCATGTCTTACCTCATCCTTGTACTTGGTGATGTAGGAGTAGATCTCGTGTAGCGCACTCATACTGTTGAACTGGCTGAGGTGTAACCGCGACTGCTCTGCCAGGTATGCACTCATGTCCTGGTCACTGATCGCTGGCATTTTAGCTATATCTGCATAATATCTGCAAGGGCGAAACAGAAGAGTGGGTCAGAAATAGGGACAGATAGAAGGGGATGGGTCCCCACCATGACGCTCACTGAGAACAGCCACTGGAAAGGCAAGGTGAAGACCATCTTGCCTACGAGCAGTGACATACCACAATCACCCATTATAACACTGCTGCTCATCAAGAACTCTCTGAGCTCTCCACGGAGCGCTCAGCATCATTAGGAACACGTTCCAGATGGAGCAGCGCCAGGCGCAGCCCAGCCCAGCTCAGCCCACCATGCTGGGAAGCCAGGAGCCACTGCTCTGAGGGTTTTCCTACCCTCTCCTAAACCACACATTTTTCCTCCTTCCCATCCCATTGGCATGTTTTACCACCAAACTGCATCTACCAGAATCCTCCATGCTTGCAGCAACACATAAGGCTTTGCTACCATTCTAAGGTCGCCGTGTCGCTGAAACCAACGATGCCCCTTTGCATTCAATTAAATACTTGGTGCGTGAACACAAGACAAGTTCACATCCAGCCCTCGCAGTGATACCTGTCCGCGTTGGTTATGTCTTCCTCAGCAAGAGGCATTCAACGCAGCCTACAACTGCCACTGGTCATGCTCAGGAGTTCCCAAGCACCTAAAAGCTACAAAGAGCTTTCATTTTCACTGAAAACCAAGGTTCTGCAGACACGTCTGTGAGCTCAGAGGATCCTGGGCAGTAGAGGAGATAACTGATGTCTTAGGGCATGCCTGGGTCAAATGACTTGGTGCTTTCCTGCCTTCCTTGTGCTTCTCTGATGGTTGCTACCAGCAGCATACTACCTCACATTTCCTAGGACACCTTAAGATTTGCAGACCTATCCCACAGCTGCCTCACTGATATGCTCAGCAAATACAGGGAAACCCAGACACAGCTTGTATGGTCCAGAATTGTAGTGGAAACACAGAACATCCAACAGGATATTCATCAAAACCCAGGGAGATCAAAGCCGCAGCATCCCATTGCAGCAGGAGGGTTACACTAAGCAGACACACCAGTGGACCAGCCACTGAGGTCCTTCTGGAAACCAGGGTTATGTCCACAGGCCTCTATTAAAAAAAGAAACCCTACCCACAGCAAACGAGCCCTGGCCACCCCCACCACCTGGAAAAAGAGAGTGCCAGTCTCTCCCAGGTTTGCTTTACTTCTCATGACTCCTCACTCAGTGAAGTTTCTGGTACAGTGATTAGCATCATTAGCATCAGCAGCCAAACGCTGAGATGGAACGTGGCTGAAGCACTTGGATAGGAGCAGATGGCAGCCAGACCACTTGAGGAGATGAATACAAGGATCTACTCCATCCCACGGCGCTGAACTCAGCTAGTGATAAAATACTTGGGCACTTTTTACAAGGAGGCTCATTCACACTCAGAAAGTGATGCGAGAGATTTGCTGGATGCTGCCAAGAGAGCAGTGGTCTGGGGTGAGGACCTCTGACTAAACCAGGCATCAAGAGATCTGCTATGCTGCTAGAGAGATCACCCCCAGAGTGACGTCTCCTAAAGCTGACATTACTTCTACCTGTGCTGAGGAATATTAGGGACAATATGCCCAACCTTCTCAGGTCCAGCCAGCTTTGATTAGCAAAGAAAACCCACAGAGATCCTCCTGGCCTCCATTTAACCCAGGTGAAGGCCCTTGTGGAGAGGGACTCATAGGAGATCAACATACAAGGGAGACCTGATGAAGAAGAAAGCTTTTGTGGCTGCCACAAGTCATCCAGGTAACAAGCAGCAGTTTTACATTCCAGGTTTTATCATGACACAAAGGATGGCAGGAGACCATCATGTTTCAATGCAAGTGTGCATGGTTCGTGTGGACTGAGATCCCAGTCACACTTCCCATTTCCAGAGGACAGCTACCACAGCCATGACCCCAGCAACACTCCCCTTGGGTTTCCCCAGGCTTTCCACCTCCAGAGCCATTTACTTTGCTATTCCTGCCTCAGACTGGCAGGATGCCCTTTTTTCAGCTGGTGCCTGAACCACGGTGGCAGACGGACCTGCTGTTGGGACTAGCAGTCCCACTCAGCCACCCTCGCATCGCTCCCATCCTGCCTCTGCAAAACTTTGCGACGATAACTGTGCCAAAAGCCAGAAATGCTGATTACGCCATAAATCCCCACAGCAGAGGAGCAGTAGAAGACCCAGCCATACCCTGCCCCCTGCTCGGCTGCCTCTGGGACTGTACTGGTGGTAAGCGATGGCAGGAACAGCTGTCACCGGTGAGATCTCCCACCTCCTCCCCAGGGACACAGCATGTCTAGACCAATGCTTAACTCTGGAATGGTTTTATACCTTTTTTTCTCTGGGCACACGCAGAGCTGAATATTTTTGTCATAGAGATGGCAAGGTCAGAGAAATTCACCTTATGAAGTTTATAATGTTCCTATGGGACCCCACTCCAAAGCCCACTCCAGCCCCCTGCAAAGAACCTTCTCCTATTACAATGCAGCTCATCTCTCATCTCAGCCATCATATTTCAGGGGCACCTTTTCTTCTGATCCAAGTCCTATCTTCCTCGAGGGAAGAAGCTTGTCTTTGTACCTGCCTGCAAAGCACCAGGCATGCCAATGGTGCTGCAAAAATAACTGTGTACAAGCGAGTATCCAAAGGATGATTTAGGCTACAAAGTCTCATGCTTGCAAACTAGAGAATATGATGCTTATTGTTGCCTGGACATCTTTCATTTGGTTCATTCTGTATCCAGTCTACATGCTTCCAGAAAAGGGGAAAGGTCCTCAGTTTAAAAAAAAAAAAAAAAGCAAAAAAAAAGCGCATCATCTATAGCACAGCATATCAGTACAAGAGGAAAGTTGCATCAGCAACCTGAAATCTGCCATTTTTTAAGCTTGATGAAGTCCCACTTCACAAGACAGCAACATTTTAACAGTAGCTCTATTTGGAGGGCTTTGCAGAACATCTCCTAGTTTTGTCTCCCAAAAGGATAAAGCTAAACACAGCATTATGCCTGAGTGCATCAATTTTCAATCAGTAGCATTCAAACCCTGAACTTTTAACACTGCATTAATGCAGCGGGACAGAAGGGTGTCTCTCATCAGCTAACAGCGCAGGTGGAGGGTATCGGAAGGAGTCAGGGGACCTGCTCCTCTCCCTGCTCCTTGGCACAGCGACAGCAGCCCAAGCGCTGCCTCAGAGCATGTGCTCTCATCAGGATCCCAGGTGAGATGTACTGACGGATGAGAGATGGGAAATGGTAATTTTCAACCATTTCAGCAAAACCTGCGTGTATTGTCATGGTACAAAAAAGGCACTTCTCTAGTCCAAGGCTGACTTCTCACTGCTCTTCGAAACCAATCAAGGAAGGTGTTAGCAATTCCCTAGCACAGACCAAGATTTACAACAGAAAACATCAGGCAACCTAAAAGTGGAGGTTGCTTTTAGCACCCCTTACGCAAGTCATAAACGGCTCTGTCAAACAGTCATTGCAAACTCATTCCAGGAGACAATCACGAGAAAGCATCATCTCTCAAATGAGAGGATCACCTTCCACAAGTGTTAGTACGCTCTTCAGACAGCTGCCAAGAGGAGTCCTCCCAATGACCCAAGTCCCCACACGCACATACATCCACCATAAGTCCTCCAGGTGAAGCAAGGAGATATTACCAAGTCTACTCACCTTTCTACCCAGCTCTTGTAGTTGGGGATGTCCTTGGCATACAGTAGTTTGTTGGAGGGAGAGTCTTTTCCTAGCTTGTGCTCAGAAGTTGAGCAGGAGTCCATGAATGTCTGAGCCACCACGGATAGGCAGGCATCAGTAATACTGTTCTTGTGAATGTCGAACACAAACTGGGGGTTCTTAATCACATTCACCCAAAAACGTAGAGGTAGACTGAGGGACGAAGGAAACAGGAGTCAGCACCTGAACCAAGCCCTAGAGGGCAGCTGGCACACACATGCACCTCCAGTTGTGGAGAAGGAGCTCCCCATGACCCAGAATTGGGCAGGCTGCTTTTCCCAGCACCCCAGGGATGCAAACGTCCTGGGGTAAATGGCCACTCCCCCCTGCCCACCCCCACATGGCCACAGCTCTCCGCGGAGAAATTCCTCAGCACTGCCAACATCTCCAAAGGCAAACCGAGGCAGCACAGATCCGCACTTTCTCCAAGGATCCACCCATACTGAAGAGCCCTTGCTGAGCGCATGGGTCAAACCAGGCATGGTCCCTTCTCTCACATCAGTAATCCCTTCAAAGGTGCCGTGTGGCATTTCACAGATCTCCCGTGTTGGAGAAGGGAGTTAACTGGACTCCTCAAGGGACTCATTAGCACATTTAACACCAGAGGAGAATTTAGGCAGCCTCGGATGCTGGAAATAAAGCTCTCGGCTGTAGAGCCAGCAGGTCTCCTGGCCAGGCACCGACTGGATGTTTGCTGCATACTGACACATGTGCCACCCTCCACGGCTCCATTTCCCAATCCTGCTGCCCCTCTCCTCTCCCAGGAGCATCTCAGGGCCTCCCCCCTTCAGAAAGCCTCTCCGCCCTGTCATCCCTCAGCACCAACACCCAGCGAATGCTTTTATCTTAGACAAAACACACTTCGTTCCCCAGGACTTTCCTAATGAGGGTACCGGGTGCATGTACATATTTCATTTGTGAAGGGAATGGCCTCTAGAAATTAGCTCCACACATCGAATTAGCGCCCAGAGATAAGCACAGGCATTAGTATGCAGGAGCCTGCGTGCCCAGCCCCTGCGGAGCGGGCTTTTTTTTCCCTCCCTTGCCTTTCGCTCCTTCTTTTAATATAGAAAACCGAGTTATAAATCAGTTCCAAGCGCTTCCGCGCTCTCACATCTCCATTTAAAAATGTTTCTTTTCCTGCCCTGCTAATTGCCAACAGTTACTGAACTACACAAAAGCAATTTGGCTGCCATTTAACAAATGCCAGACACGGGAATGTACGTACCCGTCTCCAGTAACGGCAAGATCAGAGAGATGAAATCAGTGAGGCAGCAGAAAAGAAAAATGCCAAGGGGGGGCTGCAGAGCAGCAGCCAACGTCTGCTTGAGCCCTGGCCCCAGCACGGCACTTACGGAGGTCTCATCAGCCACTCCGCCCCGCTTTTCAGAGAGCAATTAGCAGAGCCGATGGGCTGGCTCTGCGGGCCAGGTTAGGGAGGATGCATACATGGCTTTACGCTGACTTTGTTGGGGCACGTTTGGCTGAGGGACAGGAGGGAGCGTGGAAACACCTTTAGGACAGTCGAGATGAGAATTGGGGCTTGCACCTCTGGAGGAGCCGGGAGGATGGAGAAGACCAAGCGGCATTTGCCCAAGGTGCGATGGGAACAGAGCCGCTGTGGTCCTCGGCCGACTCCAGCCGTCAGGGGGAGCGTGGTGCCTGGGATTTGGGGACGGACGGACGGGCTGAGGGAGCATTGCATTCCTGGGATTTTTTCTGCTGCGGGAAGGCATGCAAGGGATTTACCCACACCCGAAATACAGAGATATGGGCCTCTCTTGTCCTGGATCGTTTCCAGGGACATACTTCTGCTCCCTGGGGGAGGGGTTGGAAATATCATTAGCTGTGATATCCTTAGCCCCCCAGCCCATTGTCCCTCTCCATTACCAGTTACTCTTCCAGGTGTGCCTGACATCATAGTCATTGATCTGATGCTTATCGGCTTGTTCGTCCAGGAAATCAAACATGTATTTGATGGCGAGGGGCAGCGCACTCCCACGATGTGCTGTACTGAAGATGGTCTCAAACAGGTCATCCACGAATTTCTGCAGGGTGCCCTGAAGAGGAGAAAGAGAGAGGGGTGGCTCAGCAACATCCAGCGCCAGCAGAAAGATGAGCCTTTAACTAAAGGTCGGCCTTTAAACCAATTCCACTTCTATTCCTACCACCTGGAAGAGAAGCACAGTACAGCCTGTGTAACTCGACTGGTTCTCGGTGGTTTATACTGGGAAACAGACACTGCAGTGATATCTCCTTCACTGCATGATCTGGCCCACTAAATGCCTACAAACAAAAACACCATATAGAGCAAAACCCAAATGAACGTATGTCATATCATGGTCTTTTTAGGGTCCCATTAAGGTGCCCAAGACCAGATGACAGACATTGCTGAACAAGCCCTCGTCCCACGAGACAGGGAGCCAAGTCACAGGGGAGATGGCTGAGCCCAGTCTCTGCAATCCTGAGCCAGTATCTTCAGCAAAGCCCTCCACTCCTCTCTAGGGACATTTCAGACACACAGCGCCCACTTGGCACTACAGAAGGTTTTGTATGTGCTGAGGGAAGGGGAACCTGCTGTGATGCCAAATGCCCTGGGTAATTAACCTTCCCACATCACTGATTTTGCTGCTTTATCCCAAACACCAAAAGGGATGAGGCATCTGCCCCAGGGCATCTCTGCTTTGCAGTCCAGCAGCTGCTCAAGGATACAGGGAACAGTAAAAATGCTAAAGGGTGCAAAAAGCAAAGAGGAAAATCCACTCAAGGGATATTCACTGAGGGTTTTGACACACGAAAACATCACTTCCAGCTCAGGAAAGAGACCAAGAGAGTAGCTCCTTCTGTGCTGAAGCAGAAGGCTAATAAAAAAAGCAGTGCTTGCCACTTTCGGACAACCTAAAATCACTGCCCTTCCCCACTCATTTAAAAACCCAAGTGGCAGCTCTGCATCTCTGGGCCATACCTTGGTGGCTAATAAGCGGGTCAGGTAGATTTCGGAGACCATCTTGCTGCCTCTGTCGCCCTCCCGCTGGTCCATGTGGTCGTGGTTTTTCACCAGGTGCCAGAGTTTGGTGCCGCTCTCCAGGTCGGGGGTGATCATGGGGGTCCGTGAGCGCAGGCTGTCGGGGCTGCTGGCTGTCCGCAGCATGCTCTCTGCAAGCACCGAGCAGAGAGGGATGCTCGTATCTTGCCCATCTCCACCTTGCCACCAGCCCCTCTGCTCCCCTTCCCTCCACTGTGGCTTCAGGGCACATCACGGCCATGAAATGGGAGCTTTGGGATCCAGCCTCTGCAGTCACCATGGATTGGGAGCTCTGCTGGGACCGTCCTCGCAGCCTGCCGGGCTTTGTTCAAGCCTGGCTGATGTACAGGAGCCAGAACCATCATGGAAGGGTTTCTGCAGAGGCCTGTCCTGCTCCCAGCACTGCAGGTGCCCGGATCACAGATGCCTCCTGTGCCAGTCTGAGCTGACCGCACTATTCCCTTCCAAACCAAGGCTGATGTACGCTTGCCAGCACATTCGCTGGAGTCCTCAACTCTGCTTATTTAAGTGCAAAGTGCCTCTGTGCTAATTAGATTTCAGGGGAATAAAAGGGAGGGGATCCCTTAGCAGCAGCCATCTGACACGTCTTTCTCCCCCGAGTCTGACACATTGCAGAGAGATGGCTCTGAGGGCATCTGCTCCCTCTCCAACACCAGAATAAATATCATGGTGCAGGAGAGCTAGGGATCTGGACAACCTTGTTCATGTGAGACACAATTACACGTGCCCTGTGCCTTGGTCTGCAAGCCCAGCCCAGTGCTCCCTCCCCTGCCTGCACAGCGGGGGATGCCCCTGCACGCTCACCGTATCTGCTGAGGGACTTGGTGAAGGTGGAGGAGTTGGAGATGTTGTATGCCGAGTTCTGCTTGGGTACCAGGGCTACCGAGGAGCCATCCGTCACCTGGGGGCAGAGATGGTGTGAGCAGGCTGCAACATGGGAGAGGCACAGGAGGAATAGCCCCGCAGCAGGGAGAAACCAGCCCAGGAGGGATGAAGCTACACTGCACCCCACCCCAGGGACATCCACCTCCAGCAAAGGAGACCTACATATCTGCCTCTGTGACAGCTCGGGGGAAGGGGTCAGAACAGGAACACACCAGGAACTTGGCATGAAAATGGCAAAGTAAGGTCAGAGCAGGGAACAGCCTCTATGACTCCTGGAGATGCCCCATTTAGTGCTTCTTTGAATGGAGGGACCATAAACATGGGGCCCAGGCAGGAAAGTGACTGCAGACCTCCTGGCCATACCCCTGCATGAGCAGCACAGTCTGGAGAGCTGAGCCCAGGCCCTAACCAAGCTGAAGAGGGAGAAGAGATGCTCAAGCTCAAAGCAGCTGGTGACTGCTCAGGGCTCTCCACCACGGACAGCCTTACCTGGTAGTGGGCCAGGGTGTTTAGCCTCTTCCAGTCATTGTCAATCTTTGTGGTCACATCTTCGTCCTGCAGTATGATCCGGGCCATCCTGCCCTGCCGCCACTCTGTCCCCATGAGGGAGAAGGGCTCGTGGTTAGGAAGCGATAGGAGCACAAAGCCGAGGGAAGGGTAGGAGCACGGTCTGGGCACCAACAAAAGAGCCCTCCCAGCACCTTCAAACCCCATGACTGATGACTATCAATATGCTGTGGGGCAAAACCTGTTTCTAAGTACTCAGGGAAAGACAGCATCGATTTGACCCTGGTGACCGTTTCCTTTGCTCCTCTCCTCTTCATTCTCCTGCCCCACCTTTAAGAACAGGACTATTAACACTGTTCTCAACTATTGCTGGCCTCCTTGGACCTCAGCCACCTCAAGCCTGCAATCCAGACCACAGCCAGAGCTGAGGAAGCTCCTCTCCCCACCCTCTCTACTGGCAGGACCCACACTCTCATGCCTGGGGTGCCCACACACAGTCAGTGCCACCAGCACAGCAAAAGTGGACTGGACAAGCACAAATGCTCTGGTCCTGCCAGGTTCCCTCTCCTGTAAGAGATGCAGATTTTCTTGCCTTGAACAGTTTTTTTGGCACTTCTGCTCTTAGTCACATCCCTGCTCCCCGCAGGGAAGTGCTTGGCCTCTCTCTTACCCAGGTCCATGTCTCCGGCTTTGGGTCGCTGGGAATAGGGCACCCCCTTGTAGACAGCGTCCAGCAGCTTCTCTTTCACCTGCGTGATGGTGTCGCAGTTCAGCACCTTGACAGGGATCTCCGGGGCATTCTCGTTCTCGGGATTCACGCAGTTGAGGGTCTGCACAGCACAGGAGGGGCAAAAAGACTCGAGTGAGAGGTTGTGACATGCTGGCTGCAAGGTCCAAGGACAGGGGGCTACAGCTGTCTACAGACCATGTCTTCTCACCTCCCAGGCCACGGCGGAGTTGCAGCCACATGACATATTCCTGATCCCCCTTTCCCCCCACCTCTCCCCACCACCCTCAGTGAAGGAATCCTGGGCCAGCAAACCATGCGCAACTCACCAAAACCTGTCTAGCCTGAGGGATGCCTGGGCACGCTCCACTCCCCTCCCAACCCTACCCTGGTGGAGATCGAGGTGGTGAAGAACCAGCTGCAGGCTCAGCCAGGGGAAGGGCCTGGCTTATCATTCAGCTGGACAGAGGAGATGGCTCATATGGAGGAAGAAATGTATCTCTCCATCTCCTGCAGTAATCTCAAGGCTCTAACTTTGATCCCCACCAAACACAAGCCGCTGGCTGCTCCAGGTAGCATGCGCTCAACAGCGTCTCTGGCCCCATACCTGTCAGGGCCATGGAGTTTGCTGGGAGAGGCATGGAGGGGGATTCAGTTCCCGTTTGGCTTTCTCAGCTCCGTGGCAAGAGCAAACCTTGCCATGCAAAGGCCCCGTTTCTGACCTTAACTGGGATAGGCACCACACAGGCAGGGCAAGAGGCACCCCAGGGATGCCGGAGAGAAGAACAAGAGATATACCACTCTCTGCAAAGTACTTTGGGTGCCTCCAAGATCTTGTTAAATAGCTGGACCTAGCAGTCCTGGCAAGCACTGGTACCAGTGAGGTTTCCGCTTGCACTAACCAGCATTTTGTAGTCAATCTGCTGCCGGATAAGCTTGTCTTCACTGAGGGAGTAGCGAGCCTCTCCTGTGATGGCATCAATGGGTCCCTTCTCCATCTGCTGCTTGATGGCGCAGTAGAGCATGAAGAGCGGTTCCCCAGCACACTCCTGTGTGACAGGGGATGGAGGAGAGGGAGAGAGAGGGGTGAGAAGGTGCCAGGCACCAGCTCTGCCTTTCAAGAACCACCACTGTGGCCCTGCAGCACCAAGCCCCATATGCAGCTTTATAAAGAGTTTCCAGCCCTTGCTCAAGACTGCAAGGGGGTACATGGTAAAATTCATCCCGTGGAGGAACTCATTCTCTCCTTCTAAGCCCGCTGGAGGTTGCTCCCTTGTCTATCAACCCCTAGGGTCAGCTTCCCAGAGTTTCCAGACACTCCCTGGTGAATTCTGCTCATTCTACAGGCCAAAAACAAACTAAAAAGGTTAAATTCAGGGCTAGTGAGGAGCAAGTTGGGTCTGGGGACTTTGTGTATGGGATATAGCCTATCTTTTGAGCTGGCCCAGCCTAGAGATGCACGTGAGGACTGGACAGGACACGCTGCAGTGGGACAGCCTGGGGGCTCTTGCCCAGGTATCACAATGCGGTTCTGGCATCTGCCAGGAGCCCAGTCGCACATGACAGAAGGTCAAAGGAGTTCCTCCATGTGACAGCTGGGCACAGCTAGACAGATCCGCCGGGAAGGAAAAGCAAGAGAGCAACTCACTGACAACCCTACCCGGAGTCTCCAGCTGATGGGGGGGGGGACCAGGCGATGAGGTTTCCTGCAGTTAAACCATTTGCCACCTATATGTTCCCAGTGCCAAACCCTATAGTCAAAGGCAGCTTTAGCCACCAGCCAGAGCCACATCAGCATCCATCTCATAGGTGGGAAGAAGGGAGAGGGAAACTGAACCAGACACTTCCCCCAGAGATGCTGGATGCTGGAACTGCAGTGACCCAGGAACAGTAAAAGATCTGGAGGCACCAACCAGCCTAGAGCCATGAGTTGGTGTAGGGGGGCTGGAAGTGGACACCCCTTTATCACCCAGGGCCCAAACCTCTCCCCTGAGCTGCATCCCAAGGAGCCCTTCCAGATACAGGCATTAGCCCTAAGGGAGAAAAAAGGGTAAAATGGGAGCAGAGGACAAGGAGAAGTCCCAGCAGATTTTACCCCACTAGCCCTCGCCCCTCCCTCCCAGCCGCCTCACAAATAAATTGTACTTTGGTGCAAAGTGCGACTGCTCTCCCTGTCACCATATGCTGTTAGCATCTCGTTAGCATCTGTGGTAATTAAAGAGACAGCTGCTAACGAGTAGGAACAGGCATACATCATCCCCAGACCTTCCGACAACACGCCTGTCTTTGAAATTATGTTTCATTTGCAAACTCGGCTTCATTAAGTCAGCTTGGAAAAGTGAGAGACCCAAGGTGGGTGCTACACTGTGCATTACCGGCTGCCCGGCAAGGCAAGAGTGCCAGGCTGTCTGCAAGGTGGTGAGACCCCGGTGGCTTCTATGGCACCCTGAGCCCACCCCTCCAGCCACGGTGGAAATACTCGAGTTGTTTCTTTTGGTTGCTTGTAAAAACTCCTCATAGAACTTCCAAGTCTGCAGAAGTGGTGTGGATGGAGGATAGCTTGGAGTGGGGCTCCTGCTCACATCTGGCACAGCTGCTTCCACCCCAGCCCACAGATTTCACCTTTCCCGCGAGGCATGGTTGCTGCCCCCCCCCCCCATCTGCAGTTCTGTGCCCACCTCTGGGGATCCCCCACTGAGAGAGGTGGCTTCAGCCCTTCCCACACTGGTGGCCTGGTTGCACTCCAGGCATCACAGCATCACCTCCGCTCCTTGGACACCGGCTGGGCTGATGGGGAATAAATCTCTTTTTGGATTCATGGTTTAGAGCTGGCCCTAAGGCCTCCCCGGGGGGATGGAGGCATCAGTGGTCGTGGTGACGGATACATCACTCCTCCAGCACCATGCAGGCTTTTGGGGGCTCCTGCATGCCCCAGGATCCTGGTGTCCTTCTGACCTGTCGGGCACACTAATGTCAACCAAAACAGCCCCTCTGCCCTGTCGCCCTGACTCTGTGCATCCTCCACCTTGCAGCCTGGCTTCCCCACCTGTTCCAAATGTGGGTCCTACCCTTAAAATCCAAAACCTCACTCCCAACCTCACTGTCCCCACTGGCTCTTGAGGACCGGGGCCGAGATGCTGATGTGCGTCACAGCTCACTGAGCCACAACAGATGAGGACAGTTTAGGGCTCATCCCTGACAGAGACCACCAAAATGAACAGGGACTGCAGAAACCGGTGCCGGGCAGTTGCCCCGAGATGAGCTCCATTGAGTGAGAAACACGAGGGGACTGCTGAGATGGGGCCGGTTGGCTCCGCGAGTTGATGGAGGGCAGCCTGCCTCCCAAATGCGGCCATGCCTACGCTGCCAGCCCCGATGCAGTTTGCTCACTGCTGGGAGCCTGAGCGAGGGGGGCTCTGGGGGGGCTCTCCATGCGAGGCGAGCTGGAGGAGGGTGGCTGCAAACACCCCCGTGCATGCACGCATCGGTACATTGGGAGCAGGCTGAGGCGAGCCAGCTAACACTCAAACTGTCTTATTGACTAGATCTAGCTCATCAGGCACCTAATATCGTGCATTTTTCAGCACTTGTCTCGATTTATCCCTCTCCCTTTCCCTGGGGTGTCTCATTAAGAGTCTGATAAATGCTACTACAGGGTCCCTGTGAAAGCGCCAGTCCTGGCTGGCTCCCCACGCTGCTGGCCCTGGGCAGGGGGGGCTGTCCTGTCCCTGTCTCTGTCCCTCGCCCCAGCATATCACGGCCACGCGATATGGCCCTGCTCGGGGCAGGTTTGCTGAGACCCGATCTGGCAGCTGGGCACAGGTCCGCCTGCCTCATTTACATGCACGATTACCGCGGTTTGGTGCAGTTTCCCTGCTGGCTGTCTACTGTGATACCTCTCCACCTACTCCACAGGTTTCTCCTGCCGGGAGACAGGCAGAAACAGCCCCGTGGCTCTCCTCTGGTGGGACCAACCCAGGAGGGGCCATGAGTGCATCCTCAAGTCTCTTCCAGTCTAACTCAAGTGACCCAAGCGATGGAGTTTCAACCACTTCCCCGGGGAGATGATCCCCAGCATAACAAATCTCACAGCCAGCGGATTTATCCAGGCACTCCACATTTGTTCCTCCTGTAATGGTGCATCTAGATCAGACTTTTCTCTCCTGCTGCTACCACCCAGAGACAGGAGGTGTTTGCCCCCACCAAAGCCATGGCGTAGCCAAGGACTTTATAAAAAGGCATTGCCCTGGTCCCATCCCCACATCTCTCTCTTCTGCTACTCCTTATTCTCAGACCTGCCCCGCACTGGTGATGCACCCACAAGCCTCTCCAAAGGGGGATGGGGCTGTACAAGGACAGATGCAGGACAGTGGTGGCACATGAGCAGATCCAAAGCAGCTTCTGAACAAGGTGAACATGCCCCTGAACAAGGTGTCACCTGCCCACATGGCCCAGCCCAGCCGGGGACAGGCCAAGGGCGTTAAGTCACACACATGAACGCAACGTCCCCAAACGCTGCTGTGGGCATTCAAAGGCTGTGCACTGTGCTTTGCTTGGCCAAAGCACAATCCCATCCACTTCAGGGAGCCCTGAAGGAGTCTATCCACAGCAAGAGCTACTCCTGCCTGTCCCATTGACCCCGCAGAGCCCAAAGAGCCATCTGCCAGTGTCCTACCTGATCCCACCAGGCACATCCTACCTGATCCCACTGGGCACTGCCAGTGCCGGGGTGGAGGGTGACCCCACTGAGCAAAGACCCGGCACAAAGAAGCGGCAGGAGGTTTGACATCTCCCCACAATCGGCACAACTCTTCTCCCCTCCCACCCCTGGAAAGCAATCTCCACCACACACTACAGCTAGATTTTTATAGATACAGGCTATCCCTCAACAGAGGCAAAAAGCCAAGTGCATGTAAGTGATATTATAAATCACCTCTCGTTGACGATCACTTGAGTTCTGCACAGACTCCTGCTCGCTCTCATCTCTCGGTTGGAAATGGTTCAAACCCTCTTTATCTTAATGAGGGATGAAATCCCACAAAAACGGCTGTGTGCCACCCAGCCTCCTGCACTGACACCAGGCAGGATCCCAAGAAACAGCTCTGTTGACTGACAAACCCACAGTGGGACCAGAGACACCATTCACCCGACCAGTGTCACGCCAAAGCAGCAGCAGGACCAACCCGGGGCTCCATGGGCTGGAGCTGCAGCTGTGTAACCTGTACAGCCGCTGGTGCAGCTCTAGCAGCTGGAAGCACCAGTGCTGACGGAATAAATGTTCTCTATATGGGTTGGATGAACCAGCAGTAAAAAGAGCCCTTACGCTTTGGCATCCTCTTCTGCTGCCCCGATGAAATTGGGAAAAAGGCAAATTCAAGTTAACGGGCTCTGCACCCTCGTGCACACGTGGTGGAGAGAGCTGTGTTCCCAGCTGCCAACAGGCCCCATGGGGCATCCATCCCCACCAGGACACTTTTTGGAGGGGAAGCAGCAGCAGAAGTGGAGATGCCTGGGGAAACAATTCCACTACCGTGGAGCCTCAGTGTCAAAGAGATGAAGGAAAAGCAGCGGCATTAAATGAAGAGTGCAGCACATCAAAATACAGCTCAAACAGGCAGAAATATGTCTACAGACAGTCATGTCTACAGAAGGACCAGCTCCTGGGGCTTCTTCCTCCCAAGTTACACAAGCAGAGGCAAGAAGGGAGGAATGTGGACCACTCCATAGGGATTCAAGACTCAGCTGAGTTGCTTCAGATTTATCCTTTCTCCAGGTACCGTTTTTAGGAAGTTCTCAAACCCACTACACATTAAGCAATCCTGGTCTGGATTTCATTTCTCAACCTCAGCTACTTCCCCAAAAGGAGACTCAGAATCACTAATCACATCTCAGAAACCCAGGATGGGAACAGAGGCCTGGGAAGCAATCTCTGCTCCGGAAGGGAGCGGGAGCGCTCAGGAGCACATCAGCCCAGGCTTTGGGTAAAACACTGCCCGTCCCAGCAAGGTGGGAACCACCTCCCTGACCACGCAGGGTTGCCATCCCTTCTCAAACTCACCTTCAGAAACTTGTACAGCAGAAACGTGAACCAATTCGTCAGCATCTTCTCTGCCACTGACTCCGTTCTGTAGGGAAGGCAGATAGCAAAGCCGTCAGCAGAGGATATTAAAGGTCTCTGATCTCGCTCATTGCCACCTCAGCCTTGGACTGTGGTTAAATTATTTTTGGCTTTAAAAGGTCACATGTGGAAAGGCAGGAGCCTCGAAGCAAAGGGGCACAAGCAGACAGCAAAAGCTCTAGTGGAAAGCCTGCCCATCCGCAAGGCTGAGCCACAGCAGCCCCCCAGGAGGGAGAAGCAAATTGGTCTCCAGCATATTTAGAGAACTGGAGAGAGCTGAGCACGACCTTGTCCCATGGGGAGTCTCACCCAGGGGACGACCAGCTTTCTGCTTCTCCCTGGTACCTTCTACTTCATTGAAGTTTGCTTCTTCCATCATGTCCCACTGGAACCGGGCAGCTCCCTCCACAGAAGGATTGTATGAGATACCTAAGTCAGGTAAAAATGTCACCAAACTTACCTCAAGCTCCCCAGTTAAAGCACAACCTGAAGGGAAAAGCTGAAGTTGCCAGGCAAAGTCAGATCCTGGCCCAAATTCCCACAACAGGAGCACCTCCTCTCACATCACCGTGTGCCTGATGTAGCTGGAAGCCCCTCTCCCCACCTGGGAGCTGCTGCTGACTTCTGCTCCTGCAATGCACTCAATACCGCTATTGCCCTGACCCAGGCCCACCACTACTGGGTGACATGGGACTTCTCTGCAACTCCCAAAGTAGCCCTTGATCTCTACAGCCTCAAAGCCCACAGTAAAGCAAGACAATCACCACTAATACTGGAGGGATAAAGAGTTTTCCCCAGCAGCCTGTGCAAGGTCTGCTCAGAAGAACTGCTGGAGGAGAGGACGCCTGGTTCTTGGCACTCAGCAGTGGTGACGGTGAAGACTCAGGAGGCCACACTCTGCACCCTCGCTTCTCTCTGTGCCCCTGCCCTTGGGCCTGGATCCGGGTGGCTCTCGGGCAGGGATGCAGAGCCCCGCAATGCAGAGAGGGCACCGGTCCACTGGCACGTGGCCTTGGTTAAAGCCACTGTTGGATTTAGGACTGGAGACTTTGATCCCAATATGGTTTTGGTCAAACTTATCCCCAGTACTAATTCAGCCAAAAACAAGGGGATTAAAGGAGAAAGGAGTAAGAGCAGTGGATGGAAGGTTGAGCTGTTTTCCAGGTACCTTCGGAGCACAGTGCAAAGACACTGTGCCAGGCTTGGGATTTAACCCTTCCCTGCCTGCATGGTGGAAATCCTGGGTCTCTGTGTGTCTCCCCGGAGTGGGGTGGTGATGTAGGAGTTTGCAATGAACAGTGCTGCAACCACCTGCTCCAAAAGGAGTTTACAAATGGAGCCGTGCCTCTCAGCTTTTAGAGATGCAGTTGAAGGAAGCAGCCAAAACTGCCTTGAGAAAACCTATATACTGCCCCTAGTTCCCTAAAGCCAAATCCAGAGGCCACCATGCTCCAAAGCAGCATGGCAGGGAAGGTCCAGGGGAGTTGCCTGTGTCTGTCTGGGACCATCACCGCACAGCATGTGCGCAAGAGGGAGAGTAGGATCCCACAGGATGGGTGTGAGACATGGTGGGTCCGAATAGGATGTGGGGACCTCAGGGTGGTGGTTCTGCAGCCAGGACATGCTGCACCAGCAGAGGAGAGGGATAGCCTGGCATGGAGGGAGCCGAGGGTAACACAGGACCCAGGTGAACCATGCAGCCCTACAAGGGCAGCTTAACGTGCCTGTCTCTGCACCACAGCCTGGTCTCACTGCCACAAGATTAAAATTCCCCTTAACACATCCACTTATTTTAAAGTGGCTTTCGCTTCCTTTAAAGTAAAAATGCCATCCAGCCCCTCGACCCTCTCTGGTTAGGCTTCTTCAGCTTATCCACCCATTAATCATCAGATCAGCCACTTGCAAACGCAGATGCTCCTGAAAGCACAAGCAATACTAATAACCTCAGGGACATGGCTGCATTCATGTTGCACCACAGGAACGGATACAAATGGGTTGACTCAAGAAACAAAACCCAGAAGGAACCTGAACCTCAGAGCCACCAGAAGGAGTTCCACTGCCCGACGGCAATGCAATGCCCAGCAGATGGGCCAGGAGCAGTTCCTGATGGCCAGATGGCTGGGGTAGGAAATTCACTCTCCCAGAGTTTATTCAAGCTGACTCAGGGTCGTATAGTCCCTTCCAAGGCTTGCTCTCATGCTAATGGGGCTTAGCCCTTTTTACCCTCCCTAGAATAGCACAGCCCTCCTTAAACCATTAGGGATGGTAATACCTGAGCCTGCAGGGGAGGGAAGCCTTCCTGCGCCTGCTGGGTTAAGATTAATGCATCAAGAGAAAAAAAAGGGAGAAGGAAAGGGACATGGGGAAGAAGCCAAGGGAGGGGTGGACTGAAGCTATTCAGCAGACATCCTCCCCGGCCCCAGACCAGGTCCTTTGCTGACAACCCTGTAACACTCGTCTGAAGTGCCACTACCCGAGCTCCTGTGGATGTTTGTCTTTATCCGAAATAGAGCCAGATGCCACAGCAATGGGGGGATTATCCAGTAACAAAATAATAAATAACAGCTCTCCCCAGTTAGATTACTGTTAATCCAGTTGCCCTGGGTGGTAAGCACACTCTCACGCCCAACAGCAGGGCTAATCAAAAGGATAGAGAAGCACAGCCCTCAGCACCACTCGGTCCACACCGTGGCTGCGGGAAGAACAAAGTCTCTTCATTGAATATCACTCAGGGAAGCACAAGCAAGGTACTGGCCAGGGGACTTCATCCCTGTCCTAAGCCTCCTGCAGCTCCACCTGCGATGGGCCCTCAAGCTCCGTGGCTCGGCACCGACAGTCCTCGGGCTGCCGGCTCTTGCCGCACTGGCGCAGGCTGGGTTCTGCCCCTGTGTCACTCCCACAGCTCAGCCATTGCAGCTGCTGGCCTCCCCGCACTGCCTTTTATTTATATTTTATTGATTTACTTCATTCCGGAGTTTTGCTCCAATGGCAGCGGCTTTATGATGCTCTGAGAGACCCAGGAGCTAGAAGTGCAGTTTAAATATTTCAGTGAAGCCTGGTGTTGTGGAGGGACAGCAAGAAGGGAAGAGCCTAAGGATGCACTCGGGGAACAGAGATGGGGTACAGGGGTCAGCACCTCCAAGACCCAGGTACCCCTCTCCCGGCCAGCCACAGGTCTGCACTGCACCCCCTCTCTGGCACATTGCTAATGAGGTGCTTTGAGAAATTAAGGGCACCCTTGAAATGTGATGAATGAAGCAGAGAAAGTAAGAAAGCAATGTGCCTAAAGAGACCGGCCGAGGGAAGGTAGCAGGGATGTAACTGGGACAAGCTCGCATCTGTGCCTTCTCCAGGCGTCTCCCCAGGGCCAGGCACACAAAACCCAACAGGGTTTGCCTGGTCTGGCCATGCCACAAACATTGGTTGATGTTTGAAAGATGCTCTGGTTTTCTTGAGCCTTTCTGCTGACTTGCAAGCCCCGTGGCTCTCAGCCGTCCCTGCATATCCACTGGAAGCTGGTGGCACGGGGCTGATGGAGACGGACATGGGGAGGCACGGTATGGCGTGCGAAGGGAGAAGATGGCTCAGAGGGCCTCAAGCTGGGCTGGTAGAGCTTATTAATTGTTTTTGTTCAGCACTTGGTGTATCTTTCAATATTCATCAGCCCGTGATGAAGGAGAGCTCAGAGCTATCGTTAAATATTGATGGGCCAGGCAGACTCACGGCAGGGCTTGGCAGGCTGCCTCCTGCTCACGCTCCCCCCCCAGCCCCGGCGAGACTCCCAGCTTGCGAAGATCCGCTTGGCTTTCCCAGGAAAACCCCCACGTGCCTGGAAAGGTGGGCAAGCCCCGAGGAAGCAGCAAGGAAGGGAGGAATCCTGCCTGCTGCCAGCCCATGGAGGCACCCATGCAGCAAGGCAGCCTCCAGGCAAGGCAAGAGCTGCCCCACGTGCTGAGAGGTGTGGGGGACCGCCTGGTCACCTGGAAAAGGGAAGGCGGGTGGAAGCATCGCTGCAGAGATACACAACAGCGCCTGACACCAGCATGCATCCTCCCTGCACCAGCCTACGCAGCCGGCAGCTGCCAAGCATCTTGCTCCCTCCTTCCCAGACAACATGAACCTGCATGGGCCAAACCAGAGCAAGAACATCCCATGGGCGACTCCTGAGTTGGCTGGGTCCAGGCGGTCCCACATCCCTCTCATACTTACACGCAGACAGGCAAGAAAACGCTTGACCACAGACCCAGTGCCGACACTGCCACAGCCAACACCAAAGCCATCACTGATGGCATCCCTAAAGGACACCAGCTTGTGTCCACATGCTCAGAAGAGACTGGGCACTGTCCCACAGCTCTGACCTCTTGGATGGACACTCACCTCCGCAAAAGCAGCTTGGGGTGGTTCTTACTCTCCAGGTTCTTCTCAATGAGGTCGGAGAGGAGCTGCTTCAGCACCCCCGTGGCGTACTCCATCTCGCCCTGCAGCGCTGTCATGATGAGGGAGGCCACGTTGCCACGGTCCCGCATGGAGAAGCTCCGCTGAGCCTCCAGAGTGCGGATGAAGGTCAGCAAGAAATGCTTCTTGTTCAGGAGCTGCCCAAAGAGGGTCAAGGACTTCTCCACATTTGCCTGGACCTGCAAGGATAGAGCAAAGCTGGGAGATGGGCTCGAGCGGGAGGGCAATGAGAAGGTGGTTGGGCTGCACAAGATCCTGAATTCACCCTCATCCCCCAAGAGGAAAGGATGAAAAAGGGTCAAAAAGCAGCTGGATTTGCTCTCTCCTTACTACCAAACTTCCTCTTTGGTGATCAGCCTGAGTTCCCTCCAGAAATATTATCTGGTTTGCAATATCTCAGCATAGGGTTAACACAGTCTCGGGTCATCAATGTATATATATACACACGCTTCCATACAGACTCTCTCACGCATGTGCAGGCACATACACGCACTTCCCTCTCAAAACCAAACTCTTTTTCTCTCCCAAACACACACACAAATTACCATTTTCAATTTCAGCTAACAAGCAGCTCAATTCCCACCCAAGACACCGCAACACACGCTTTGGGTATCGCACAGAAAGCAAATAAAGCCATAACCCTGAGCTCCGCTGGCAGCAAACCTGCCTGGTTTTGGGGGGCTGCATTTCAGACAGGGAAGCAAACAGCAGAAACTTGGGTATGCCCCGCTCCTGACCACAGCCTGAAATATTGCCTTTCCTCTTGAGACATTTGAAGGTGTATTTCTGGCCACACCTAGCTGTGTAGGACTCAGCAGGGACTAGGCTGAGATGCTTTCATTCCTGCGCTGCCGTCGTCAGCCCAGCTCTGGTCAGCCCTGACCACATTTCTTATCAGAAATGAACATTTCTACAACACAAACGTTTTCCCATTAGAAAAGATGGTTTCCTCTGAATAAAAGCCTTGCTGTGGTAAAACGTCAATTTTAATGATTTTTTTTCCCCCCCTTGTCTTCCTGATTGGGAGAATAAGTGAAAAATTTCATTTCATGTTGATATTTGGAGACAAAACAACACTTTTCATTTCAAAACACCAACTCAAAATGAAGAACAGGGTTTTGACACATCAAATCATTTCACTTCAATCAAAACTTTGGATCTGTGCTCTTCAGTTCAGCAAAACTCCTTGTGGCTGTAACTTCCTCCCCCCAAACGCTCTTTGCCACTGGACAAAAACCCCGTTTCCCACCCAGTCCTTGTCAGTTCTGCGATACAAGCCCCCAGGTGCCACTGTCACCCTCATCACCCAGGCGAGCGGGGACATCTGCCCCAGAGCATCCCAGAAGGGCGATGGGGGAGTGGCAAACCCTCTCTGCCCCTGTCTTCGGGGTACCTCTTGCAGGCACCACGCAAGCAAGCACGTGGCTCAATTTCCCTTAATGCAGGTCAGAGGATAACATCCTGCTAGGAATAGAAATGCTTTAAATTATGTTTTCCTGGAGTCCCTCCCTCCAGCCTACGTGGGGACCTTGATGCAATGATGCTGGTAACTCAGGCAGATGCCTGAGGTTCAGCAGCATCAGCTGCTCCCTATGGGGACACAAGATGCCAGTTGATTCCTCAGCATGCGAAGACCCGAGAGCCAGCTGGAGCACAGCAGCTGCGCTGGAGACCTACCAGACCCACCAGTAAAACTGGGGCAGAGGGAGACGTGCTGCATCCCCACTCCTGTGTGCTGCTGGTGCTTTTGCAGCCAGGCAAAGGAGACCATGGGACGAGAGACTTTCTCCCTTCAGTGGAGAAGGAGGATCTCTAATAAGATGAGAAATGGGTCCTGCCCAACAGTGACCATCCCACTGGAGCCTTGGCAGGGAGCACGGGAGGACATGAAACTCCCATCACAAGCAGCGTGGCAATGCCTGAGCCCCCCCATGCCTGTCGCCTCCCTGGGCCCCCATGTTTAACTTGCTGATCATTAGCAGAAATAAATGAACAATACTGAATTAAATATTTAATCAGACTTAAATTCGCACAAAGCAAAAAACCTCCCCCCCCAAAACCTAAAGAGAAAGGGAGCTGGTACCGACTGCCTGATGCTCACTGCGGATTAGCGTGTGCGTGAGCAAGTGCCGTTTCCTCCCGTCACTTGCAATAGCTAATGTTACACTCTGAGTAAAAAGACAAATAAAAGCAAACCTGATTAAATTATATGACGCTTACACAACTGTAGTTGCTTTATTTAATCTCTTTGGGGGATTTTTTTTTTTTTTTTTTTTTGCTCCTTTGCAACTTTAACCCCTTATTTCCCAGGCCAGGCTGAGCTGGCGTGCTCTCTGCAGTGGGATGTTTTGAATTAGGAGCTGGAAGCAGATGAACTCCCACCCAGCCTGCCATGGCCAAAGCAAAATTCCTCCTCCGATACCCTTTTTGATACCCTTTCCACCCCACTCTCTTCAGGGAAAATCCTTAAGAGCGAGAGCAGAGGTGAGAGGAGAGCCAGGCGTTTGCACAGACAGGAAGGGCTGTGCCCCAGGGAGGGCTACGTTCATGCCTGCTGCGGCTCTGAGCATCCGGAAACCCGAGCTGCAAGGGGAAATCCATGGAAACGGGGTCCCCGCCGCCCTCCAGAGCTGGGATTAGGGACCAGGGAAAGAGAGCAGGCAGAGGGCCAGGGCCCCGTGCTGTAGCCATGCTGGCGTACAACACCAGCACGTGCACTTGCAGTTGGTAAGAGCTTGTTGTGTTGTAATTAGTGACCGTGCATCTTGCACCAGGGCCAATTACTTCGCCTAAATACATTGTGAAGCCCACGTCGACATTAATTACCGTGCCGGGTCAGCAGCGAGGGGAAGCTAAGGTCAGCTCCCCTCCTTTCTCTAATCAAGAGTGGCCTCGGCAGCCCAGCAAACGAGAAGCCAATTGCTGTGCGATTGCACGCACTAAATTAAACAGACTTGGGGAGGCCGGGAGAGCAGAGGGAGTTGGTTTGGGGAGCAGGGAAAGGATGCCAAGGATGGGTTCTGCATGGGGAAACGGAGCCAAGCAAGCAGGCGATGTTGGACAAGCCTGCTAGAAACGAGCGGCCGGTCAGGCATCAAACAAACCCAATTGAATAAAGCAAGTGCTGTAGAAAATGACAGCAGCAATGATATTAATATAAATATTGATATTAATGTCAGAGAGCACAGTAACCATTCGGCAGCCATTCCACATTTGCGTCGGCTGCCACGCAGCGAGATGCTCTTTGCCGCACCGGGCCGGGCCAGCCTCTGACCAAGACACCTCTCCAGCCCTACGCTTGGGGCACGGGGACTCACGCAGGGGATTATGCAGAGGCACATCCCCATCGTGAAACACTACAGAGACAGACAGAACCACACCTCCATCTCCTTCAGCACTGGGTGGTCTTCTATCCCTGGGAAGAGAACCCGCATGGCGTAGGTACGGTAATCCAGAAAGGGGATGCCAGCCCCGTCCAGGTCGTTGGTCAGCTCGTTAATGTCAGTCTGCAGCTCAGCGAAGGCTGGGGTGGGAAAAGCAGAATTAAGCAACACGTTCCAGAGTCCCAGCATGCAGCATCAGCACCCAGCCTCCACCACACCCCCCAGCACCCCATGGGTGGGACCCCCAGGCGTAAATCCGCTCTGCATCCCTCCCCGTAGCAGGCTGTGATCGCTGTCCCCATCTCACAGATGGAGAAACTGAGCTGCGGAGGGTGGGGAAGACTTCCCCAGAATAATTCAAGTGGCAGATTTGGGAACAGGACAGCTGGGTACAGGGGGGCTCAAATCCCCCCTGCTTAGCACTCGCAGCCTCCCAGGGATGCTGCAGGCAGCAGGGAACAGCAAGGCTTGAACAAAGCCAGAGCTTCTGGGGGAAAACGTTAGCCTAAACCACAAGAATGTCCTCATTTCTTTTTGACCTAAATACTACTCGAAAGAAGAGCTTGAACACACCCACCCCAGCACCTCCCAATCCGAGCAGAGGCAGCGTCGACTCCCAGGGGAATGTGATGCTGGGGAGGGAGGGGGGGGGGGTCCTGAACCTTTAATTGCACCTACAGGGAAAAGCTGACGGGAGAGGAGTCCTGGAGATGCACCAGGGAAAGGGGTTGCGGGGGGGAGAAAACCCTCAGAAAAATCAAATTAACGGCACTTTAAAGGGAGCTGAAAGCCAGGCAGAGGACTGCAGGCTCGTCAGCCTGATGAGAAAAAAACAAACCGTCAGCTTGAAAGGCGTGCTATCTTATCTGTAACTAGTGGGACTAGAAAAGAGAAAAGGCAAGGAAGAGATTGTGCCTTTTAATTAAAAGCAGATCCTTTTATCTGCCAGCTGTGGAAGACAAGACACCATCCCCTCCACCAGCTCCCTCCCCTCTCCCTGTCACCAGTGCCATCCACAGGCATGTGTAGCGATGGGGATTTGGGGGAGCAAAGGGTTTTTCTTTCTTTCCCCTTTTTATTATCTTGTTTTCGGTGCCTACTCCATCTGCAGCACCCAGACTGGTTGTGGCTGTGGCTGGCAGGGTTGGGGCCTCGGGAGCCAGCTCAGGGGGATAATGGGCAATTAGGTTTTATCAGCAGGATCATACAAGGAATTCTGTCCAATTTCACAGCATCCGTCCGTCACATAATGAGAGACCGACTGTGTGCTCACAGGCAGCCCTCGCTACCCTCCTTGCTCTCTTTTCTCCTGTTTGGAGAAACGGAGGGGTATTTCTTAACTGGAAAAATCCCCAAATCCCACCCAAAATGAGTTTGCTTTCTCTGACAAAGCAGCTTTGCCCACTCCAATTCCCTCTCTGGAAGGCAGCAGGGAAAGGGTGGGAGCATGCTAAGCCTCGGGATGGTACAAGACCCTCCAAGACCCCCACGTTCACAGCACAGGGTCCCTCACCCTCTTTGCATTCCAGGGCCACCCTGGACTCCAGGTTGTCCATTTGCAGCTGGAGGCGTTTCAGGGTCCGGTCAGCATCCCGGGACTTGCGCTTGTAGGCGATGAGGACAATGATGATGATGAGGAGGAGCAGACCACCCCCACCGCCAATCCCGATGATGGCAGGCAGGGTGAGCAGGCTGTCCGAGTAGATCTGCAGCGTCCCTGGGGAGAACTCAAACCCTCCAGCCTTGATCTGCACCACGGTGGGAGAAAAAATGGACCTGGTGTCAGGGAGCATGTACCCAGGGCAGCCCTCCCCATCATGCCCACCGTGCTGGGAACTGGGGGATGACTCCCAGCCCGGGAGAGGAAGGATACAGAAAAACACAGGGATGGCAGGAGCTGGTCCGGAGCAGTACGGTGCGCTTTAATGGGATGCAGGACACACGCTGCCAACACGCGCGCAGAGCAGGCAGAGTTTGATGTCTCATTCAGACAACATTACAGTAACAGATGGGATGTGAAGCAAGTTCCCCCACGGGTGGGGAGCCTGGGGGGGCCGTGCTGGGTCCCTTTCAACCTGGCGGGGTCCTGAAGCACGAGCACCGCTCCGCTACAACCCCACAAACAAAGGAGCCTTCCTTACGGCGTGAGCCAGCACCGGAGGGAAGGGGTGGGAACTGCCCCCCGCCTTGGCACTGGCTGTGCCTTGGCACCCAGCAGGGGAGGGAGGTTGCTGGCAGGGCCAGCCGGGGCCACCCAGGGCACAGGAACGCCTGGCTGAGCGTGCCAGGGAGGGGACAAAGTATTTGGTCCTAGCAAATTAGGGAGAGCAATGCCCAGGGAACAGGAAGATAGCTCCTGGGGATGCTCCTGCACGTGCACTGGCTATCCGGTCCTCAGCTGAGGATGAGCACACAGCAGGGCCAGTGCCAGGATAAAGAATGAACCCCTGTGACACATGGGACATGAGAAGCAAAGGTACCGGTGTCAGCATTTACCGTGACTTTGTGCTGGCCGGTGAGGTTGGGGGACTCGCAGAGGAGCTGGGTCTCCGAGACGGTCAGGGTGCAGGGAGTGTCTCCGATCAGCACCGTGTAGTTCAGGCGGGAGTTACCAGCAGCTGGCGGGAGCAGGTTCCTGCCCTTTGAGGGAACAAGGAATGAGATTGTCAGTTCTCGTGCAATGGGGAATGCTTTAAAAAAAACAACATAAAGCAAGTTGTGCTCTCGCAGTGTAGGACTTAGCCCCAGGAGAGACAAAAAGCCACCTCCACAGAGGGACATGTCCCTATCCCTCTGCCCCCAGGGGCACACTGCCTTACCTTGAGGATGAGGGGAGAGCTGGGCTTCAGCTCCAGCATCCCCGTGGGGCTAAGCGGCTCGAAGACAGGGTCCGGATAGTAGACGAAGTTGGTGGTGTTGATGATTAACAGGGCCTGGACGTTATCCATGATGAAGCCGATCTCATCTGGGCGGTCACCGACCTCCGGAGGGCTCTGCACAGGGTTGTCGATGGAGGGCGCGTAGCAGACCATGGTGGTGTCATTGTAGACAGTGCAGTTCTGCAGGAGGCACGGACCGAGGTCAGACCCAGCTCCCGACAGGGAGGTCACTATCAGACCCCATAAGAATCTCCTGCAAGCAGTGGCTCTGGACAGGAGGTTTAGGCTTGGGATGTCCTGTCCTGTGCTGTTACATCAACAGGTGCCACATCCCGCCCTGGGGCAGAGAGACTCCTGTCTTCAATGGATGTGCGAGGGGTGGCAGGTGGGAGCTCGCTGGGGATGGGCTCTTCCTGTCACTATCCTGCAGACATCCCACAAACCTCCCACCAGTTTTGCACACACTCAGATCTCAGTCCTCTCCTGGCAGCATCTGGCCAGAGGCTTTGTAGGGAGATCAGTGCCTCTGTTTGGGTGGCAGCCCCTGGACCTCAGTCCTCCCATGTCATCACACCTGATGAGCAAGGGATGCGCTTTCTGCCCTGCGTTGCAGAGGGATGGCATCCCTCCTCCTTGTGCTCTGCCCCCAGCCCCAACCAGCACCACTTACGTTCTCTCTTTCAGAGCTGCAGTACTTGGCCCGGATCCTGGGCTCTTTGATGGTGGCCAGGTTGGTGCCGGTCACGGTCAGCAGCGTCCCACCGCTATGGAGACAATGGGTTAAGAAAGGCAGCTTGGCACAGGGTCCCCACTTCTGGGAGGGCAGCACCCATCCTCACCAGCCAGATGCCCATCTGCCCCAGCCTGGGTGAGCCACAATGCCCCCAGGACCTCGTATCCCATCCAAATGTCACCATGGCTGGCAGGATCCAGCATGTACCACTGCCAAATCATCTCAGCTGACCCAGGGGCCAACTAGAGATATAAAACCTGATAATTAACACTAACATCCCACCCTGTGTCTGGGTTTGGGGTCTGAAGGCAGCTCCCAAGCGAAAGGAGACCAGGTATCCGCAATGGAAAAGCATCCCAAGGAGGAGGTCCTTTCTGCTACCCCCTTCTCCACCACGCAGGCAGCGGGTCCAGGGCAGGCTGAGCCCTGCTGGGTTTTCTCCACGGCTTGGTGTTAAAAACCCTGCAGTCCTGGAAAGCTCGGCCATACCCCTGGGGAGCTCGCTCCTCATCAACACCCTGGGGAAGGTTTCCCTTGGCACTAGCTCTTAATGGATTCCTTCGCCTCCTCTCCAGCCAATTCAAACCTTTTAGAAAAATATGTAAACATTTCAAAAAATCCCCCGATGGGAAATATTTTAATTTTATTTGCCGCCGCCAAATGTCAAGCTGAAATTACGCAGATCCAAAGCACTCTTTGCTCTTGCCCCCTGCCAGGCTAAGCACTGCAGGCCAGGAGTTAGCAGGGCCTCGGTGCCAAGCCATTGCTCACACTCCTCTCACCACATCTCTGGAGCACGGCCCGGCGGCTATCACAGCAGTACTGAGACGTACCCATCAGGGAGCAGGGGGACCCATGCGGAAAACAGTCCCCCACACGTCCCAGAAGCTCCAACAATTCACCTGTTGATGCTCCACTCGGGATCGATCTTCTGGATGGTGGGGTCCTCCGTGTAGTTGTACTTCACCTCCGGGTTGCTCAGCTCTGCCCGGTTGATGTTGATGAGGATGGGAGAGCCGCCGGGGGTGTGACCAGGGGGGGTCCTGCACCGGATCTCGCGGGCGCTTCTCCTGGGGCAGAAACGCGCAACCCGTCAGTGCCCGGGCAGCGGGGAGGCGAGGGCGGCCGGAGGCGGCCGATGCTGCCCATGAGGCCCCTGCCTTTCTCCCCTTCTGAAACTGCCGGGGCGGGGGTGAAGAGAAAAAGGAGGAAAAAAAAGAAAATAAAACCAAGAACTGAAACAAAAGGCAGCCGGGAAAGGCTGAGCAGCTCCTGAGCGTTCCCATCGCGCGGCTGCTGCAAACAGCAGCGATTAGGGCTGATAACCAGTAATTACCGCAGGAAAATATTTAAAGAGCCGCTCCATTATCATCCCTAATCTAAAAATTATCCACTTCATGCCTCAGGGCTTTGTGCTTTTAGAGAAAAATCTGCTCTTCCTGCAGCCTCTGACACACAGAGGTTTTGGGGGGAGACGCCTCCGGCCGCCCATGGGGTTTGGCTCCCGGGATCCCTCCTGGCTCCCCAGCAGGGGCTCCTGGCTGCTGCTCTACCAGGGGGTCCCGCTGCCTCCGGAGGTGCCCGGTGCCCATCCTCCACCACCCTCTGTGCCCCTCACCACGAAAAAGCACAAGGCCGTCCTCCAATGGTCACAGAGACGTTGCTGCCGGCATTGAGGTGGCTGCCTTCGATGGCGATCCAGGTGCCGCCAGAGAGAGGACCCCGGGCTGGGACCACGCGGGAGAAAGTGGGAGTCTGCCAAAGGAAAAGAGTATCCCTGGTGTCAGACAGGCTGGGGACCGAAACCCGTGTCCCCAGGCAGCCCCGAGCAGGTGACAGGGCCACAGAGGAGAGGGACATGTGGGACAGTGGCAGGGCATGGTGCTAAGGGCTGGCAGTGCCAGCAGGACCGCGGGGAGGCAGAGCAGTGGCCGTCTTGGAGAAATTCAACCAGCGTGACCCAATGCCTGCCCAGAGCATCCCCACCTGCCCCCCGGGGAAATGACAGCCGATTTTCCGACTCGCCTGGAAAACCACCCAAAACTGCCCGGCATCACCTCCCTCCCATGGTGCCAGACTTGTCCCCGAGAACGGGACTTACCACGAAGGTGAAGCTCTTGGGGGACGTGGCCCTGTAGCTGGGTGAGCAGTCACGGATGCACACTTCTACCCGCGCCTCATGGACCTTGCTCGGGCTGGCATCTCCGATTTCACACACGATCCTAAGGGATGCGGGGAAGAAGCTCTCAGTGTCCCAGCACCGAGACGCTCCCTGTGCCTTGGTGGGAACCAGCTTCAGGAATGGACAGATCTGATACCAAGTAAAGGTCTCAGGTGCCAGCAGGTTCATGAGAAACCAAGGTGGTGGCTGTTGGCACTGCCAGCCCTGGGGGAGCTCCCCCAAAGCCTTTGGGCTCCTCCCAGAGCAACCACAACCATCAGGTACTTCTCTCCCAGTTCAGCCCAGTCACCTCCCTCTCTTCCGCAGCCATGGGCAGCATTTGAACACCAGCACCCCCGTCCCCAACCTAGCAAGGTGATCTGGAGCACGCCTACCCCTCACCAGGCACTTACTGCTCAGCGCTGATGTACTCGCTCTCGATGGGGATGCACATCACTTTGCCGACTCGAACGCCCCAGCGAACATCTTCAAACTTCAGGCCCAGGTTCTCACCGGTGATGGTCAGACGGGTCCCCCCTTGCCTGGGGCCGGTCTCAGGGGACAGCTAGGAGAGAGCACGGCCCGTCAGCCAAGGGAGAAGAGCCGCAGGGACACCTCGCTCAGGCAGGCTGCAGCCCGGGCAGCCGCAGGGTGTGTGTTACTCCCCTAAGAGCAGCGAGGAGCAGATGGGTGATGATAAATGCCAGCGCATCTGTAAGGAGCCCACAGAGTGGGAAAGACCTCCCGAATGACAGCCGCAGCCACAAATCCCCCCAGGAACAAGCCAGGAGATGCCAGATGTGTCCAAGCAGAGGGTTGGGATTTGGACACCCTGCTACAGACAGAGCTACCTCGCAGGTGACAAGGACATGGATGGGGAGGAGACAGGGCAGCGTCAGCCACAGCTCCAGCTGAGCCGATGAGGAAGCATGTGGATCTGCCTGGCTTTTGGCCAGGTCCCACATACCGAGGGATGAGGTGCCCATGTCCAAGATCTCCTCAAAGGACAAAGCATCTCTAACAGGTCCCTGCACGACAGGCGTGGGGGAAAAGTATTTCTCTCTGCTGGCAAACCCTGTGCTGAGGCCGGCTAGGAAGGGAGGGGACCTCACCCCGGTGCTGTGCCTCATTTACCAGGATGATGCCCAATAAAGTGAGCAGGTGTGGCCTGACAGACGGCGGTGGGATGAGGGATGAACGGAGGCGCGGGCCCACCGCTGCCTCCAACCAGGCAATTACAGGCAGTTTTACATCAGCGCCCGCCAGCCCCAGGGCCCAGCACCCACCTGCAGCACTAACTGGGATGAATGGCAGGGCTGTGCGCCCTGGCTGGGACCGGGTTGGGTCCCCGGTGATACTGAGACAGAGCAGGGGAAAAGGCAGCTGCAGGCAGCCCGTGAGGGAGAGAGTAATGTAGGCTGGGTCAGTCCAGGAGGATGGTGCATCCTGACCCAGGAAAAGGGACCATTTTGTTGCAGGTGCTTCCCTCCTCTGCTCACACTCCTGCGGCACTGGCAGAGATCCCCCTCTAGCACCGGGAGGCATCTCTGCCAACACTAAGCCCAGCGCCTGGACAGGCTCAAGCTACAGCCATGCTCACGCTGCGACCAAGCACGTGCGAGCTCTTTGCATTCCTGGCAAATCTCGGCGGCTCCAACCCTGGGGCCTGAGCCAGCTGGAGTCTCCTCCTCCTCCTCCTTTTCCTCCTCCTGGTGCAGGGCTCGCTCCTGCACATCACCCGCGCAGTGAGGAAAGGCGGGCGAGTGGAGGGTGGGAAACGTGCAGCAGCGGACATTGGCCATATCCCCAGCCCCTATGGACCACACGGAGCCAGGGGCTGTTTCTGCACAGCCCTGCCGCAGCCATCGCCTCTGGGGTTAACGGCCGTTCTCTGGATTCACACGGGGCTGATCACCTTCAGCACACACGAATGGGGGCAGTCGGTCCACCCTGCACACAGGCAGCCTGCGGGACTTGTCCCAGGACAGCGTCAGAGCTGGGACCAGTGCCTGGGACCCCAACTCCCGCCGAGGCAGCCACGACTCACAATTTACACGGCAACAAAACCCTCCAGGGCTGTGGGGAACTGCTGTTTGCCTAAACCCAGCTCAACCCCTGCCCAAGTCTGGGATCGGAGCTTGTTATGGCAGCTGCAGCCAGCATCACGTTCGGTCTTCCCCCTAAATCGAGTTCCGCTGGGGCAGCTGGCAAGAAGCAGCTGTTTGTTTGGTGTTTCTGAATGAGTGTTAAAAGCTGCTCCAGCATGTTCGATTCCTCCTCCTCTGCAGCAAAGCTGACAAGGGCCACACGTTCGGGGAGAAATGAGTCCGGGAATGAAATGACATTGTTGGCCACCCAGTGCAGGGAGGTCATGGCTAAACAAGGTGTGCGGGAGGAGGGAGCTGACGAGAAGAGCAGGGGCTGCTCGAGCCTCCCCTTTCCCCCCTCCACCTCCAAACCCCTGGCCCTGACAAACACAGCCACTTTTCTGCTAATTTGTTACACAGGGTCCTTTTACATCAACAAGCAAAGGGCTCTGGTGGGCACAAGCACTGGGCTCACGGTTCCCCATTCCCAGGGGAAGGGATATCGCTCTGAGGGTCACAGCCAGCACTGGGCAGGACCCCACAGAGGTTTGGAGGGGCCTCGTCCCCAACACCGAGCAACAGGTAAGTGATTCTTTGCTCCAAGGGTGAAGAATCATGGTCACCTCCCAGCCCAGTCCCACCACCCATGAAGACACCTGCACCCCAGTAGGCTGGGCAGGAAGGAGGCTCCAGGTTCTCCTGAAATCACTGTAGGAGACTCTTTTCCCGCACCACCCCATGCTGCCCTCTCTGCACCTGGCTGCTCTCTGGACCATTTCCAAGCCTGCCCACAGCCCGGGGTGTGGGACAGGGGTTGTGGGAAGCAGCAGGCAGGCTGCCGGAGGAGCACCACACCGATAGCTACACACATCCACACCGACCACCAGCTCCCAGAGCGCTAACACAGAGCAGCGCCAAGGTCAAGCCCACCTGCTAACAGATCTGTTTCTGCTGCACCTGCAATTACTGCAAAATTTCATCGTGATTCAGGGCAGAAGAGCTGCTACCAAGGCTGGAGACCACCAGGTGCTGGGAAGCTGCTGTGAGCAGTGTGTGCGCGGATGCCTGCAGCCCTAGCCATGCAAGCACAAGAGGACAGGGCACAGCCTACAGCAAGGCCACCCCAGGCACGACCCAACCACTTCAGTCTCCAGTCCCACCATCCCCAGCGGTCCAGCTTTGGAAGTTCAGCCTGAGCACGGTGGGAAGCCATCAGGGATGGGGAGCCCTGCAGCCCCCCACACAACAGCCGACCTCCTTGTGGGGATACAGGCTCTGGCGCTCGACCCCACTCCCCCAGGAATGGATCCCTTCTCCTGCCAGCACTCTGCCAGCCCCAGGCAACTCTTTCCACGCAGTACTTCTCACAGGCAGGGCTCTTTGCAGGCAGGGACATGCCCAGTGAGGGGGCAGCCCCTCTCCCCGCATGGCTGCCGCCCAGCACACTGCAGTAGTGGTACCCTGCAAGAGGCACGGGGAAAAGGCATGACTCTCATTTCCAGCTTCCATCAGATAAGACACTGAAACCCAAACAGATCAGATCCTGTGCTAAGACTCCAGTAATTAACACTGGCAAGGCCCGGCCAGCTGCAGCTAAACAGAAGGTATCCAGCAGAAATATCCACCAGTCCCAACTCGTGCACTTGGAGCCCAGCCTGACAGGCACGTGAACATCAATATACACAATCTTATTAAGCAAAGGTCATAAAAGCTGTCAGGGAAGGGGGATGATGATGAACTACTGGCCCCGGCGAGCATGGCAATACGAGGAGGAGCAACCTAGAGCCACAGCTTTCCCAGGATCCTCCAGTCACGTGCAGGAGTGGTAGGAATCTTGGAGACGGGCCAGAAAGCCCAGTGCACAGGGGTGGTGGACAGAGGATTTCAGCCTTGGAAATGAAAGTGGCGACAAGAGATGCTCAGTCCTAAACACGGAGTAGATCCAGCTGCTGTGAAGTGCCACCAGAGAGCCCCATCCCCACCCCCATCTCCGACCCCATCCCCATCTTCTATCTCCCATCCCAGTCCCCTGGCATCGGACATCACCGCCCATCCGTCCCCGTGTACCTTGGTGATCTTGGGGTCGGTGCAGCGGCTGTTGCCGCTGCTGGCATGCATCCAGCTGCTCTCGTAGGCCAGGCAGTGCTGCCGCAGTGAGCAGCGCCTTTCCGACACGCACCAGCCGCACTCGAAGCGTGGGTCGGCTTTGAGGCACAGACCGCAGCTCTCCCGCAGGGCTGAGCACTTGTACAGGTGGGCTGCAACGGCAGGAGGAGCGCAGGGGTCAGCACGGCTCCCCCAGCCCATGGGCACAGGGTTTTGGGGAGAAGGGCACCTGCTCTCGCCCCCTCCCACTGCGTGCATGCCAGCAGCTCCCGGGGGGACAAACCCCCATGGACAAGAGGCACCAGCACCCTGGACTCAACAGCAAGGCAGAGCTTTGGGCTTTCTCCCAAAGCTTCCTGGAGAAAAGCCTCTTGTTTAGACACCCGTCTGATTGATGCAGCCGGAGCATCGCTCCCTCCCCCAAGGCACTGGTGCAAACCACGGTCAGGGACGGGGAGAGGGGTGGGCTGGAGGCTGTGGGGGGCACCGGGCTACTTTCCCACCCCCATCCCATCCCTCACTCACCCTGGATGTTCTGGGGGTTGTCGATGACGAAGTTCCCATTCCAGACCACAGACAAGTTGACTGGCAGGTCACTGATGTCATTCCCTTCATAGAAATACTGCAGGAGAGGACAGAAGGAGGCAGAGCCCATTAATCGGTGATGCGAAATGTCCCGGTGAGGGGCACGGAGAGGCGTATGACCCAGTTACGTGGATGTCTCCCATCAACCCAGAAGAGAGGGATAGGAGCCTGGTTCAGACTCGCTGGCTAGGAACAGACAGGTCTAACAGCCACTGGTCAAAGCACAGGCAAACCAGTAGGCTAGACTGGCAAAAAAAGATAAATTAGCAAAACAGAGTTTTTCTAAATAGACCCAAAACCCATTAACCCAAAGGTCTGAAGCTGCTGCTGCTGGGAGAGGAGGAAACAGATGGTGTCTCTGTGGCTCACACATACTTCTCCCCGCCAGGCACCCGAGCCCACCCCCATGTCCTCCCCACTCCAGGGACGCTCAGTTGGATGTTTGGGATCACACTCATCATTAGTGAAGCTCGGGGAGGACAGGCTGGGCACATGGCAGAAGCAGATTTGGTAGAGGCGGCCCCAACACCTGGTGGGAGGATGTCCCCCGCGGTCCCCTCCAGCCCCATCACCCATAACACAATGACATAAAGCTGCAGCCACACGGCCATGGGTGGGACAGAGCCAGGCACCAGCCTGCTGCCACGCCAGCCCTTGGAAAGATCTCAGGAGAGCAACCCTCCCTTCCGCACACCACCTCCGTCCCGCACCCCCAGCGGCCCCACTCCCAGCCCCACACCGTGCTCAGCCGTCGGCTGTACCCCACTCCAGGACTGGCACCACCACCCTGCTCCCCCGAGCTCCCACGTAGGGACGTGACACTGGGGGATCCTGCCCCCCAGCTCTCGGGGGCCCCAAACTCAGGCCCCAGCACCCGCGGCTGTCCGGACATACTCACCTCCATTGCTCCTTCCAGCCTGGCCAGTGCCTCCTCCCCATCCAAACCCCTCTCCCCTGCCTCGACACCCGAGCCCCAGTCCCAGCAGCCCCATCAATATTCCCTGCACAGCCCCTGCATGCAGGCAGAGAGGTTTAATCGATACGGAGGCAGGAAGGCAGTCGGAACCGTCCCTGACAGCTAATGACCTCCTTCGGCAAGAGATTCCCCGCTCCTCGCCCGAGAAAATGACAGGCGTGTCAGGAGAGATTAAATGAATGATTCATGGGTTGCTGGAGTTTGTTAGGGAGCGGCGGATGCGCCGGCAGCGGCTCACCCGGCCATGGCCCTGCCACCACCTCCAGCCAGCCCAAGCGTCACCTTTCACAGCCCCGGTGCCGCACCTGGAGGAGGTGGCCTCAGCACCTCCGCCAGCACTGCCCCAGCTGCTGCCCCACGGAGCACACTTGTCCCCTGCCGGCACCAGGGACAACTCCGGTGGGTCTGCTCTGCTCAACGCCCTCCACAGGAGGCAGGGACACAGCCCACGAAGGAAGCCAGTGCGCGCAGGTGGCTGTGGGAAGCAAGAGATGCTTGGGTCCTTCTCACCTCGCCATCAAAGCTGGTCCCTTCCATGCTGAGTCTCTCCCAACCAGACAGCATCACCAGCCACAGTCCAGCATCAGACATGGCACCAAAACACCCGATGTGAGACATGGCTATAGCAACGCACCCCTCCCTCAACCCTACGAGGTGCAAACGAGAGGCCAAGCCTGGCTCTCGGTTACACCTCCACAGCTTTTGGCTAGTGGTCCTATGTCCAGCAGCTACCCCACCCAAACTGCAAACTCAACCCTTTCTTGAGCACCCAACAGCTCCACCGCCATCTCCCCTCTACAGGAGGAGCCCCATCTCCCCCCACCACGCAGACTCTCAGACATGGCACCTCTCTCGATGTTTGCTCAGAGGACCTTCAGCCACATCTCCACCACGCACCATCTACAACCAGAGCCTCTCGGCAACATTCCCGTCATCAGGCCTGGGAAGATGGAGCCAGAACCAGGCTGGGAGTCCAGATTTGTTCACCTTCCCCTATCCTACAGCCACTCAGGGAAATCCCCAACAGGACCATGATGAGGAGCCGTCCAGACCCACAGCAGCAAGCAGAGACCATCCCCTGGCAGCAGGAGGGAGCACGTGCTGGGGAGGGCGGTGGCGGCGCCGGAGCAGAATTTAGCTGTGACGAGCCACGTGGCAGCGTAAGTGAAATTGGCATTTTCAATTTGTACTCTGACATGTCTCATTTGGGGCTCTGGCATCTTGGGAAGGCATCCAGCCTGCAGCTGTCCAAAACACTTATTTGCATCTCTCTGCCCCGGCTGCTTTTGAAAATTAGTTCTTCTGGGAGGTGGGTTGGAGGAAGAAGAATAGGGGGGAGAGGGAGGGAGAGCATTAACTCTTCATGCACCAGCCCCAAGACAGCAACAGGGCAACTGCACAAGAGACTGTGTCCCTCTGGGAAAGGACACCGTGCTGAGGATGCTGAATTTGCTGCGGCACGGAGCTGGAGCGGACAGTGGGGAGCAGCCAGGAGCACAGGACTGCGCGGAGGGAAGCGGCAGGCAGGAGCAGGAGTCATCGCCCCAGCTGGCGTTCGCGGCGTGGGATCACCAAGGGAACACAGATGTCAATGAAAAACGTGTCCTCGGCGTCTGCGTGTCTGACAGCAGCCTCTCACCTGCCCTACAGAGACGGGCAGCGGGTCCGCAGCTTGGATGCCATTACTGGTCCCTGTAGGACGCCGGAGCTAAGTCATGGCTTGGCTGCGTGCGGGCAGGAGCTGCGGCTGCAGGGGCTCAGGGCTCAGCCTCCTGGGATGGCCGAGATCCATCAGATCCCTCCCTAGTTTCCAAAGCACCCCTTATTTTGAAGGACATTTTCAAAAGGCCTCCTCGCAGCTGCTCTTGCCATAGAGTGCACAGGAAGGTGCCCTCTCCATCCATGGGCACAGCCACAGCCAGGGAGGTGGCAGGATCCAGGCCACAGCAGCCGAGCAAAGCAGCAGCCACTTTCCAGCCCTGAATCCCCCACAACCAGTAGGAATCAAGCAGGGGGTTGCTTACCAATCTGTCCATCCCATGGAATCCAGACAAGAGCCCATGGACAGCCAGCAGGTCCCATCACGCTGGCTTCTCCCTGTTTCTAGCTAACACGGTGCTAAACATCCATTAAACACTTAACTGTTATTAACTTCCCGGTTAATCAATCACTGTGGCTGGCAGCGATCTGGGATGAGACACGGGAGGGGAGGCCAGGGCGGGTGTGAGCGGGGGGATGCACCTCCCCAGGCAGTCCTGCGATCAGACCACCTTTCACTCTACAAAGGTGCCCGGGACTCCCCGGCTGTGCCGAAGGATGATGTGGCACGGCAGCTGCCACGAGGCCGAGTTATGGGAAAGGGACATTTGCTCTGGGAGCAAAAAACGACAGGCGCAAGCTCCGAGAGCAAACCAGCAGCACCCAAAAGAGTGAGCGTTCTCACATGGCACAGTCCGCAGAAGGGGATGGGAGAAAAGATGTCATCGAGTGAGTCAGCAACAGAAATGTGAGCTGCTTGGCTCCTTAACTAACCGGGCCAGCCTTTCCATCCCTCTCTGGAAGAGCCTACAAGGCAAGCATGGAAGGGCTGACAGATGAAACGCCAGTCCCACCAACCTGCATACAGCTATTCTCAGCAAAGTCTTCTTCTGCAGGGATGTGGTTCAAGCAAGAGGACTCCTCACTAAGCCTTTCTCGAGGCTCTTCACCCAAAACTTATCTCAGGCATCTTCCCAAGTAACAGCCAACAACCTCATGTGCTTCTCATGTCTCCGATTCTCACGCTCACCCCATCCCCATGCGGGGGGATGCCCACCAGCCCAGCACACTGTGAGGGCTGTGGGTGCCACCTCCCCTGAAGGTCTCACATTTGGTCCTAGCAAGCCCACTGCTCACCCACCAGCTAGCAGCGACGGGCACCGAGAGCTGCGCAGCTCCCCTTGGGGTGAGGGATTCAGCGCTCCAAGAAGGTGCCTCCAGGGAGCCGCACTCCCACGGGACAGAGCCACAGCCAGCGAGGGGGTAGCCCAAATGTGGGGGCAGACTGCACTGAGATGCACTTCAGGATGCTCCTGCAAGCGCCGTGCCAACTAGTCAAGGCACTAGCCCTTCCCAGCCCAGATGAGGCAGGGCAGCCCCTTGCCACGGGGCATCCTTCCCACGCCAGCCGCAACCTGCACAACCCAGCCTCGAGGAAGGCAGCCGAGGGGCTGCTCCTCTGCGAGCAAACCCACCCATCCAAATTTCCCTTGCAAGCCCCTTCCCTCCCACATGCACCACCCCCCTGGGCTACATTTCTGGAGGAGCACTTGGGCTGCAGCTGTGTCCTATTTTTCTGTAGTTGATGACCTCAACTTCTTCCCTGCACTACGGGGACGGCAGTAATGTACATCGTGTCTCGCCAGGGCTCAACTGCAATTCATCATTATTTTATCTGCTGGAATTTAATTGGATCCTATCAAACTCTCCTGATACTCCCTTTTCACTTTAAACACTGCTGCAGGAAAGATAAATGTAGGCACCACTAGGACGGAGAGCACGGCTTTGTTGGCGAACGGTGCTGGGGTTGTGGGCTCCGATCCTGTTTCCCTCTCCATGGCTGGTTAATTAGAGATACGTATACCGGAGGTGTGTGGTGCTCAGAACAGGGCATGTGTGTATGATTTATGTTCCTCTATAAATATACTCTAGGCCTAGTAAAATACCATCAGCCACACAACAGCACAACTTGACGGTAACGCTTGGCCTCTGATTCTGGATCTCCTTTTGCTCTTTTCACATAAATCTCCTCCTTTCCTCCCCATCACATACAACTTCCTTCACCTGGATTCCTCCTGCCCAAAATTCGGCAGGGTGTAAGTGAGAACCCGAGACCCTGGGAATATGTCAGAGCAACACCCAGGCTCCAACGCAATAAAATAATACCCGGAAAATGTAAATCTACCAGGTCCTGTCTGCCTTCCCAGCACCCACGCCTGGCGCTGGGCGCCTCAGCATCCATGCTGGGTACCACTCGCGTGCCCACCCTGCCAGCCCGGCTTGCTCTGCACCCACATCACTTTGTCACGGGAATAAGCCGCTCCTGGGTGAACATCCCGACCCGAGCCTGGCCGGAGGGGAGAGACCTCCGGAGCTGCAGCCAAATGGGTGGGCAGGGTGGGCTGCCCATGCCAGGGGGACAAGTGAGGAGGGAGCCAAAAGGGAGCCAGGGAGGTGACACAGCTGCTCCTCACCACATGGGACCCTGGTTAAAAGGAAAGGGAAATAATTGAGGCGTGAGGCTTAATTTAAAGTGCTGAGACGACAAACTCAAATGCTTGTGGAAAGGAGATCAGAGGTTCTTCCTATTTTTACATTTAAAGGGAAAGGGCAGCTCTGGGGCTATTTCAGCCTTAAGAGGAACATTCTGGAGAGAAAAAGCCAAATCCTTGGCAGCGAGGAACACCTGTAGCCATTTTGCCAAGGCCAGGACTAAATCAGATGAAGTCCAATGTTACAAGCAGTAGGGCAGATTCGGGACTGTGGTACTTTCCAACAGCAAAATTGTTTATTTTTTGCAGCAATCAGAAGAATGAGCCCTGTTAACAGATGGCAGATGGGAAAGAACAGGCAAAGGCAGGGATGTTTGGAAAATGAAACTCAGTGGCATTACCTGCACACATTAAGACAGATGACCATTTCTCCATCCTCCACCGCAAGACACAAGCCTGGAAATGTCTGCCTCCAGAAGAGTAAAAGTCACCAATTAACAAAAAAGTAGTTTACTGGCAAATAATTTAATTTTCTTAGTTAGGCTTGTCTTTCCTTTTTGTTTCTTTACAAACCATATGGAAAACCTTTAGGGCTGCTTTCCTTTTGAAGAGCAGAAAGAGACCAAAGTGAGGAGGCAGAAAAGGGTTTTTCCTGCTTGGTTTTTGCCCTGGGATGCATGGGGAACACCAGGCCTGGTCTTCTTTGAGTTTGCTGAAGATCTATTGGGTGTCTCAGATGATGTTTATAGTCGACACTCAAACCTTAATGAATGGACTGCTGAATATTTAACCAAGATGTCCTTTCTTCAAAGTGCTAACAAGTCATTGGAGTTTGACAAGCACTAAAACTAAACAAAAGACAAAGAGTTTTAAACGGGCTTAACTTATTATCCCTTCCATTCACTCGTGATTCAGGAAAGCATCCCTAATTCCACAGAGTAATTAACCTCTTGTTTAGATTCCATTGAACTCCTGGAAACAAAGTGTGCTTAAATGCCTTCCCAAGGAGAGGACATCCATTCCTCACTTGCTGGCTGGGAGGATGTCATCCTTTCCCTACTTCTTCACTCCCCAGTGTCCTCCACACCAGGCAAAACCCAAAATCCTAATCCAAAGGATGAATCACAATGGAAGAACCCAGTGGGTCATGGGTGGGTGACTGTGCAGGAGCCTGAAGTGCTATCAACCAGCCAGACGGACTGCAAAAAAAGATGAGGAGGAGACAAGCATCATGGAAGTGTGAATCTGAATTCTCCACACCATAAAGCAGCCTGGCTAAATGCCCTCAAGCGTTAAAGCAGGCAAGCAGACCCTGAAAGCAAGACAGCTTCTTTGAAGCCAAAACTCTCTTCTTCCATCTGTGAAGTAACCCTGCGCCTGAAAGCCACGTCTCCTGCCTGAGACCACGGCCCCACGGAGCTGCTGCCGTCCGCTTTCACACCCACACAGACTGCAATGCCTCCCCACGTGCTCTCTGGCCAATTTGCTTTGTTTTCAGGGCATCCCTGGCAATTTTCAAGTCAAACATCCACCACTGCCAGCCCAGGAGAAGGTGTCGGTCACCACCTCAGCTCTGCATGGGGACCATAGGGTGGGCAGGCACACCTCAAGCTGTCCTATCCCTCTGGAGAAGAGCTGCAGAGGCCGTGCAGCTCATGACACCAGTGCTGGCAGCCACAGCACCCCTTGGGAAACGCAGGCAGTGGTTTTTACTTCTGCCTCTCCCTCCTGCTTTCCAAATTGAAACATACTGGGGAGAAATGAGTCCAAATGATTCAGACCCCCTCTCCAAGCTCCACCTCCGTTAGGTAAAGGCTCTGCTCTGGCGCAGACACCTCTCCCCTGACACCCCACAGGAGCCATCAGCCTGCTGCTGCCAGCACCATGCAGCCTCGGCACTTCTCTATAGGGAGCATCCTGCAGCACACACTGTCCCAAACTGCTTTTGAATGAGCTAAGCCAAACCACACGCTAAAGAATTGGGCAAGAGGGAGCTGCCGGCTCTGCCAGCTGCAGGCAGAGGAGATCTGGCAGGAGGCTGGGCTGGCCGAGGGGCTCTGGCCAGGCCGGGGCTCACAAGATGTCCCTGCAAAGCTCGGGACCAGCAAATCACCGCAAGGGATGAAGGTCTGCGAGCCAACATCCGCTTCCTCCATGGACTTCCCGTGCCCCAGGCAGACACGGTTTCGGCTCCCGGGTGCTGATGCAGTTCTGCACCCGGCTGGGATCCTTGCAGGCTGGGCTCTCTGTTTGGGACAAAGAGGCCACATTTCTCCCACACTCTGCAACAGGGCAATGGTTCCTCCAGCCCGTTTCCAGCCACAGGTGCTCCGGCAGTGGGGCCAGCATGGACGCATTGCAGAACAGCCCTCAGATGACCAAGCAGGTACCTGACATAATCGGCCTTCTGCCAGGACAAGAGTGGCTTGGCTGACCCCCGAGAAACCTCCCATGTGGCTGCGATGGAGACAGAGCAGCCAAGCTCAGCTATCAGCAGCAATGAGACCCCAGAGAAGGGACCCCCACTACCGTGATGTCTTCATGCACACATCCATCATGTTCCCCTTGAAGCACTAACACCAAGTCATGCAGGCGACAGGCAAGACCGAGTGCAGGGGCAGATCTGCGTGACGAAGCGCTGGTGAAGGTCATGATCAACACCAGGGATGAGCAGCCAAGCCAGCTCCACTGGGCAGTGCTCCACCTGGCTTCTTTTTTTCCCCGAACACAGCAGCAAGACAACAAACCTTTGCTTAAGCTGCCTCGCTAATGGCTTCTTGCAGCAGAGCCCTGCAGACACCGCTCTGGTCCTGCTGCTCCCTGGAGCTTGCACTTGTGCCGCTGCTTGCATTCGCCTCCAGGGCAAGCACAGACCCAACAACAACATTTCCAGCCGGCAGCTCAGGACAGGGAGCATTTCTGCTCCTCGTAAACCACGTGTCGCTGAGAAAGAGCCCCGGCAGCACGGCATCCCCCCGGCACTGCTGCCCAGGGCAGGAGACGGCAACTCGGGATGCTCCTCCTGCCCAAAGGCTCCGCAGCCCCGGGAGCACAGGAGGAGGGAGGGAGCCAGGGCTCATCTTCAATGGCCTCTAAATGTCACTCATGCCACCAAAGGACAAGGGAGCAGGGATCAGTGCTGGTGTTAGGCTGCAAATGAGCTTTCACAGTGTGAGTGATGGAAAACAAATTTTAAAAGGATTAAACGGGAGGGAGAAGGGAGGGGCCGGCTCCTTGCGGATGAGGGCAGGTCAGCGCAGAGCCCAGCGGGGCAGCCGAGGAGCTGAGCAACACCAGCTCCCGGGGGGGCTATTAACACCCTGCGTGGGTTTGCTCGTGGGCTTGGTGCTCCCTGCACAGGATCGCTGCGCAGCGAGGGACACACACAGCTCACCGAGGGGCCGCAAAACACCCTCTCGCTCGGGGATAAGGCAACCGGAGAGGACAGAGCAGGCAGAGCTGCCTGCCGGAGAGAGCTTAAGTGACAAGAGCTGCAGGGAGCAAGGACGGGGAGGCAGGGAGCGACGCACCAGCAGGGCCGGGATGGAGGACGGGCAGGGGGCCGGGGGATGAGGTAGCTGCCGGTCGGAGCCAGGGAGGAGGGGAAGCACTGGTGGGGCTGGCGGGCACAGCTGCACGCGGGGGAGCGTGTGCGCAGCGGGACACGGAGAAGGTGTTAGCTCGATCCTGCCTGTAAAGTGGGATGGCTTGGTGTCGGGGGAAGCAAGAGCAGGCAGAGAGAAGGGGGAAGCAAGGATCCGGCACGTTCGGGCCAGCTGGCTCCGGCCCAGGCAACTTTCTTCAGCTTTCCAAAGCCAATTTCCTTGGAAGTGCTCCTAAAGCCTGGCGGCTCCCCCGGGGAGGCTCTGGCGTTGATCCTATCCAGAAGGACCCCGAGCAGCAGCCTCCCCGTGCACCTGGGGGAAGCGGGGGGAGCCCACCTCGCACCCCACAAGCACCAGAAACCCCCGTTACCTGCCCGCAGGAGAGCAAACCCGGCCGTGCAACGATCCGGGAAGGTCCCGGGGCAGGGCAGGAACGAGCAGCAAATGAAGCCCGTGCCGAGGCGAGCCGTGCACTCACCGAGGTGTTCTGGCACTGGATGCTGGTGCTGTTGAAGCGTAGGGCGGTGACACGGGTGGTGCTGCCGGGGATGTGGAAGATGCACTCGTAGTTGCGCTGGCCGGACTGCGGCTGGGGCAGGTTCTTGGCCGTCAGGGTGATGGGTTTCACCACGCCCACGGGGATGTAGATCTGGGTGGAGGGCAGGATCTGGGGACAGTCCTGCAAGGGGAACATGGGGCAGCCGATGAGAGGGGAATACCACGCAGCCTCCCCCAGAACCCCTGTGACGCCCCCCTTGGCTGGCAGGCTGGGCAACACATGGCAAAAATACCACCCTGAGCACACACTTGAGTAAATCCCTATGTGCAGCCAACCCCAAACCAGCATCTCATAGCTGCTTTGACCAAAGCCCTAAAGACAGAAAAGGAGAGCACAGAGGAATCTGGTGGCAGGGCAGTGGGATGTTTTCCACAGCTCGGATTGATCCAGCCAGGAGGTGGGTAGAGGATTCAGCTATGAGACCTGCGACCTGGCACTGCAACAGCAGCACACGTTGAAATGACTGGTAACAAGATGGGCTTTAATGCCATCAATGCAGTCAGTAGGTTTCAGAGTTAACACCCACTGGGCGGTGCGTTGTCAGGCTACCCTCTCAGCCCTTCTGTTTCCCTTACAGACTCCATCCCCCTTCCTTCCCAAGTGGACAGAAAAGCCTTTCTCCCTTCTGACGTTGCAACATCCTTCTGCAGTTTTGCAGAGAACCTGCTCTGCAGCAAATCCTGCTGCTGCTGCTGCTTCTATCCGCAGCCAGCTTGAAGCAATGTCACCCCAAACAGCCTGGTTGCAGGCTGCCCAGAAGACGGTGCCTCCGGCCAGGGGATGCTGGTGAGTCCAAGCCAGGAATGTAAGGGCAAGGGGCTTGCCACCACCCTGCCAGCCCCCTGCACTCCACGGGGAAGGAGCCGTCGGGAGGGTAAAGCACTCGACTTTTAATAGCCACAGGCTCCCAGCCACTCCAGGGGAGCCGGAGAGCCTTGTGCGCAAAGCACAGGGGAGCAGGAGGGAGCAAAAATAAATGAGCTCAGGCAGCAAAACAGCTCCGCAGCACTGACGGGTGCCACTTCGGCAACAACAGCCTGATGCAATCCCACGCCGGCTTTGCTGAGCCAGGCGGAGGTCTCGCACCTACGGCAGCGACTACGGAATAACGTGTGCTGAAACGAGCTGCTCCGAAAACAGAAACAGCAACAGCAGCGCCGGGGGTGGACACAGCTGCCCCACTGCTCTCGCCAGGCTGCCGACAGCCACGCGTGGCCAATGCTGCCCAGCTGCCTCCTGCCGCCCTGCAGCGAGCCGGGCCGGACCCTGCACAGCACAGGGCTTTATCTCAGCAGTAGGATTAATCTAACTTTCAAACAATGCAGAGAAATGAAAAAATGGTTTCATTTAGCAAATATTGACAGAAAACTTTAAGTTTCCTGTTCTTCGCAGGCCTGCATTCCCCAAAAGCACAATTTTTAAGGGAAGAAATTATTTATCCCCAAAACATACTAAACAAAATGAAAGCAGAGAGGAACAGCGGTGCCAGCCCCAACCCAGAGATGGTGATGGGGCTGGGACAGTCTGGGGACCCTCAGCACTGCTCTGCCACCTCCTTGCTCTGTATCATGGCTGCCCCTCTGCAAAGGGGGGCTTCAGTTCCCCTGCTTTCAGAATCAGCTCAAGGCTCACAGCCGGGAGACCCCGCGCGTCTGCTGCCATTTATAATGAGTGGCCCCCGCCGCTGCAAGACGGTTGCTCGCCACCGGCTCCCAGCTCAGAATTGCTGACGGAGGGAGAAGTCCCTGCCTGCTTGATCCCCCTCCACATTGCAGGGGGACCCCACAGGTGGCACACGGCTTCCCTGCGGGGCGAGGATTAGCTCCCGGCTTGCTTTCCAAACACCTCCACCTCCTCATTCTTCGGGGCGGTGGGTAAGTCCATGCCACGCCAGCGAGGCTCACCACGGATGCGGAGCACGGCGGGCACGTGCGTCCCTCTCCCCACGCAGGCAGGCAGGCTAATTTTGCTGACTCGAGGTTTTGAGCCCCCCCAAACCCGCCCCGCGACGTCACATGCTCCGCATCTGCCGGCAGAAGTGTCTCATCCAGCAAAAATGTCAGCCTGCGCCCAACAGGAAGCACCTGGTGCTGGTGGGCGCCCAGGGTGCCCGGAGGGGTGGGGGCACTGGGACAACTCATTTCCCCTCCGAGCAATTCCAACCGCTGACAAAACTCAGCCCAGCATTGCCTGGCACTTACATCCCTTGGGAATTCTCTCCACAGCCCGTGGAGCTCCCTGTCCTGCCAAAAACAGCCCCCCCCGCCTCCCGCCCCGGCTTCCAGGAGCAGCGAGCTAGGAACGGATGGGACGAGCAGAAAAGCAAGACCCAGACACACACGCATTCCCAAACATTGCACAACTTGGATTTTCTCCATTAAAACCGTTTTTCTAGCTGGATGAGAACATGACAAGGGTGGCCAGGTTTGCTTGGAGAGGTAAGAGCTTTTGTCGCGCAGCAAATGCTGCGGTTTGGATTTCTCTGGCAGCTGGCAGCTCCAGCTGCAAGGCTGTGCCGTCAGCAGAGATGGGGATGAAGGCAGTCTGAGACTGGGCTTGACCCGGGCTTTGAGGTTCCCTCACAAAGCCCTTGGCCATTCCTACTGGTGGGAGAATGAAGAAAAAACACAAGCTGAACCTGCTTAGGCTGAACAAACACACTTGGTCAGGAGCCTTTCACCCTCCACAGCAGCTCTGCATCAGCAGGCAGCAGAGACTGTCACAGAAGAGCAGCTTTTTAGGATGGGGGACTCCAGCATCCATCGCTGATCACCCCACGGCCACCGCTGGGCACCATAAGTAGGGAAAAGCAAACAGCAGCCTGTCCTGCTTCATCACCACTTCCCTAGCCCTGCACCCCAGAGCAAGCCACAGAGGAGGGCAATCTCCAGAGCCCAGGCTTCAAAGCCACCGCAGCCAGCAGGCAGGGACATCCTTCCTGCTGCCACCGTTCCCAGGCACGTTTACATGAGTGGTGGCCCCTACCCACACCCCGTTCCTGCCCTGAAATCCAGGCGAACATCCCTTGCATGCCCAGGACAGAGTGCCACGGGTCACTCTTTGCGTTTTTCTACAAAACAGCCACTTTCCCACCCAGGAAACTGTGGTGAACCGCCCGTGGGAACCAGCAGAGACAGAGTAAAGCGCTGCTGTTAACCCCTGTCCCTGCCTCTCCTGACCAGTGCCCACCACACTCCAGCCAACACAGACAGACCAAATCCTGCTTAAAATAACCCTCCCAGTTAGACATCCTCCCACAGAGAGGATGGGGATGGACATCTACCATTAACTTGCCCAGTGGTGCCACGGGCTGGCACCGAGTCCCCCCACCCACCACACCACCCTGCTGGCGACCGGGATGGTGATGAGATGTCTCATCCCAGCCCGGACACGCAGCCCACAGTAGCGGCCGGTCTGAGGGTGTCTCACCATTCCTGCCAGGAACTGCTGAGGCCACACCGATGTGCAAACAGGCTGAGCCAGGCGCTCCAAACCTCAAGCCAGGCACCGGTCCAGGTCCCAGTGTGGCCAAAAGGTCTGCCGGGGGACAGCCTGCCCGTGCTCAGGAGTGACACAAGTTCCCAAGCAGTTGGTCCGTGGGAGAGCTGCACGCGTCCCAAAGACAACAGCCCTGGGGGGCACAGCCAGATGCTTTTGGGTTCGTCTGGCAGGGAAGGGGGAAAAGCCCAGCAGCCTCCCCATGCCCTCAGCGAGGGGAATGGGCAGACGAGCGCTGCCAGGCTCCAGCGGTTTGGACACCACGTGTCGCGTTTGCAGAAGCAACGCCAGGGCCGGCTGGAAGCGCAACCTCAAGAGCAGGCTTCTGGGATGCCTGGGACAGGCCAGTCCCTCGCCGGATTTCTTCATGGCACAAGCTAGGAGAAAACAGCTTTTTCTGATCTTCTCACATTACCGAATCCCCGCCTTGTGTGAAGCCACCAGGCTGGGTTCGTTCTGGCTCGTGCCAGACAAGCTTGAGCACCCATGAGCACTGTGCAACCCCCTTGCACTTGGATGATACCTCCAGGGAGGGAGGGACGGTGAGGGACAGTGCCAACACCGGGAGTTTGGCCGTTTGGTGGAAGGTGTGGTGCACAGCCACCGCTGTGCCATCCCAGAGGATGGCAGAGGGGCTGCGGCACAGCCCAGGCTCACCAGCGGCGCGGGGGCAGGAAGGGCTCTTTGACAAGCGGAGTCTCGTTCCCAGCGCTCGCCTGCTGCTGTGCAGAAATGGCAAGCACCAACCCTGCCTGCCCACACACGGGAGTGAGGGTTGGGCTTTCCCAGCTCTCCCGATGCACTTGGCTGAGAAGCAGCTTCACTCAGCTCCGTGCTTGGAGTAAGGATCACGACGAGAGCCCAGCGTGGCCCCATGCAGGGACACCGCCATCTTCTGCAAGTCCATCCACTCCTGAAGTCCTTGGAGGCTCCAAACTGTGGAGGACCCAAGTATGAAACCCAAGCAGCTGTCTTTGCAGGTTGCAAAGCCCAAACGTTCCTCCATAGGCACAGCAGTTCCCCTGGGAGAGGCAGCAGGACCAGGTGCTCCGGCTTTCCACAGGGATGTGGTGGGTCAACCTTGGCTGGATGTCAGGTGCACCCAAAGGGAGCAGGGAAGTCATACAGGGCTCAGCCCCAATGCATGGGAAGATGCTCCTCCATCCACCCCATCCCTGGCACAAAAGCGATGGTGCTGGTGGCTGGGCAATGGTTGAGTAACGGGCCAGCTCTCCCGTTCTCTCTTGTGAGAGAGCTCTTTGAGTGAAGAGAGAGGCAGTGGGGGAGGAAGGGGAAAAAATTAATTGGGGTGCTTCAGCTGCAGAGCGATTTGTCTGACTCCACACGTGCTCTCAGCTCAGCACGGAAGCAGGGGGACGCAGGGAGGACAACAGCCTTGATCCAGAAGGACACCCACCAGCCAATAGGTCCTCACCGAGGATGAGGGCAGACCTCAGCAGACACAAATTACAGGGGATGGAGATTCACTCAGAGACACTGCCCCTCCCGAGTGGGGAGATGCAGAGGCAGGCTTCCTCTCTGTGCCAGTCAGGATGACAAAGACCTTGGGGGACATCTCGGTTGCTTGCCTTCAAACAAGGTCTGTGAAGCGGAGACGAGCCTTTCTTATTTGCCTCTGCTCCTGGGGACCGGTTCTGGCCTGGGAGGCTGCTGGGACATGAGCTCTGCTGGAGCTCAGAGACCGCACTTTATCTGAGGTGATCTGGGCAAACGCTTTCTCCAGGACAACATCCATTTGAGCTGTTCCCATGAGGACAGCATACGGCTTTGCTCTCAGCAACAACCATCAGGCAGCAGGACCCTTCCAGCTGGGCCCCTGCACAGGCAACTGGAAACCCAGGTAATTTCAACCAGAGCCCCCTTCCAGGACAGAGACAGAGGAGAAACTCTCCTTCCCAAAACTCTCCCTTCAGGACCCGAATCAGCATTTACTGTAGAGCCAGCTGTTGCTTGTCAGACCTCCAGACCCAACCTGAGCAGCCAGCGATGCCACCACAGGCTGGGGATGCCAGGACCTCCTGCAAGCACCCTGCCAAAGACAGGTTTCCCCGGTGGGTGGCACAAATGCTGCGCAGGATGAACCCCCGCAAAAGAATATGTTTCTTAGCAAAGCATTTGAGACTAAGAAGGCGTGAGGTGTAGCAAAACAGTTTGTTTTACGGATTTCAACCTTCCCCTCTCTGAAAACAAGTTGTTCTGCAATGACAGTTCAAGCTTGCTCCCTTCAAAAACATCAAAAGAAAATGCTTTAGCATCTCTGCCTTTGTTTTTCCCTTCATTCAGCCTAAAGTGCACTTGGCTGCGCCCGGCTTCCTAAGCAGCCTTTCCTCAGCAACACAGCCTCTCCCCACCGGCACTTCCCACTCTTCCCTCACTGCTTCCCAGGCAGCCCCAGCACCCCAGGCAAGGCGGTGGGAAAGGTTTCCAAAGCGGTTTGCCCTCTTCTAAACCCTTCCCCGTAGGGCAGGGGGTCGTGACAGGACTGGGACGGGAGAGGGGAGCTGGCTCACATCACCTTACCTCGGAGAGCTTGACGCGTCCCTCCAGGAAGGAGCAGTCGGCGGCATTGTGGGTGCAGATGTGGCGGTACTTGCACCAGTGGCAGGGGAAGGAGCCGTTCACGCAGGACAGGCAGCTGCGGAGAGAGAAGCGGGCAGCGTTAGGGCAACGGCAAGACAGGGTTCCCTGGGGCGCTCCTCGGGATGCTTCAGCAGGACAGCATCCATCGGTGATCCCGCATCTCCGGGTGGGAAGGAGCCCCCGTGCATGGGGCGAGGGCTGCGCGCCGGCAGGCTGGGAGGGGAGACGCCTGCACACCCCGGACCCCCGGGCTTTGCCCATGGCAGGGCGAGGGGAAGCGGCCTTTCCCGCACCGCAGGGTTTGTGCCCCAGCCGGAGCGGCCACGCTCCCTCCTCCGTTTGGCAAGCTGACCCTGCCCACCCCGCTCCTGGGCGGGGGCCGAGCTCCAGACTTTGGGAGCTTTATTTGGGTTCACTGAAAGGCGATTTTAGTAAGAAGCGGCAGAACAAGGGCTCTGCACGGCAGGGGAACAGGGGAGAAAGCACCAGATTAATGCACGCTCGTTGAAAGGAAAATTATAACTGGCGAAAGGTTGGGTCAGATTAACATTTCGGGACTGTAGCGCTTTTCAGCCACTCACAATAGGTTGTGTGTGACCCCCTCCCTTGGCCCCCCTCATCCTCAGCCCTCCGCAGCCGCGCGTGCGTGTGTGCGCTTCCACCCCCTCCCTCCAGCCTGAGACGTTTCCGTCTCTCTCCCCGGCCTCTTTGTGTGGTGGGATTGCTTGTACCCCCCTCTCGTCGCCTCTCCTGCAGGATGCGCTCAGGGACCCGGGGATGCTGGGAGCCCCGTGCTCTGCTCTGCACCCCTCTGACCAAAGAAACCAGCCCCAGGGACCTGATGCCTTTCCCCCATGCAGGAGGGGGCACAGAGAGTCCCCTCCTTGTGCAACCATTCATATGAGCGGCACCCCATCAGCCCGTCCCCTTGCTAACCCCCCCCAAAAGCACGCCCTCCCAGCACCATGAGGCATCCCTGTTTGCAAGCACAGGGGATCCCTTTTGACGCCCTCATGACAGCGTGGATGGTGGAAGGGGCTGAGCCCTCCCCATCACACTGTCCCGGGGCAGCAGCGAGGTCCCACACTAATGCGGCGAGCCTTCACAGGGCAGGTCTGCACCAGGCATGTCCTGTGCAGCCCAGGCTGCCCTCCCAAGGAGGAGGTGGGAGAGCTGCTGAGGCATAAGGTTGAAGGCAAGAAAAATAATCAACCTGGCTTTAAAAAAAAAAAAAAAGCAGCAGCACCGTTTTTCTCTGTGAAGGCTCATACCTGCTCTCACCGATCCGAGAATGAACAGGATCAGGCCCAAAGCAATTATATTTAAACAAAAGCAAGATCTTCCCCTGAACACAGCTCTGGCAGGAGGCAGGCAGCACTGCCCAGCCTGATCCCGCTCCTAAATCACAGCTACCTCTCTGCCTCTATCCCCCGGGAAACGACAGGGAAAACACAGCATCACCATGCAAGGTGGCAGAAAGAAAACCTTCCTGGAGAGGGAGATCCTCAGGTGGCACGGCCTGACATGCCAATTCCCTCGCCCTCCAGCAGACTTGTCACTTTGGAGGTGTGGGGACAGCGCACGAGGGAGCTGCAGCAGCAGGCAGCTCAGGGTGCAAATGCACACCTAGGGCTTTGCAAGGCCACCGCTCCCTGCCCGCCCTGGGGTTTCACACACCATTACATATACAGCAAGAGCTTCCCAAATCCATACGCACACACTAAGGAAATATTTAATTAAGCTGCTTGCAAAGGGGGCTGGAAGTCATTTCCATGTTTCGCTCACATTTTCACTTCCAAATGAACAGCCCTTTTAGCTTTACCCACAAATATGCTAATTGGATGCTCCTTATGCAAATATATGCAATTTTATTTCAGCTGCAGAAATTCAACTTAAAAGCAGAGCCGTAGCCTCCTATCTCTAGTTGCTTTGATGGAGGGAGGTGCAGAGGGTAGGGGGAGCGGGGGACACAAACAAAGCAAAAGGACGGCTCCTGCCCTCCCAATAAGGGCTCGAGCAGTGACCAGTGGGCAGGCAAATCCATGATGTGGCGGCAGCGGGGCAGGGAAAGCACGGGTTAATCCTTATGGAAGTAGAGCAACCACAGAGAGATCATGTCAGAGAGGAGCGTGGTCCAAGCAATTGCAAGCCACATGCCGGGGCATAACCACCAACCCTCCTGTGAAATCGGCCCTCCACAAAGGAGAGATTTTCCAGCTACCAGGTCTGCAAAAAGACTCCTCCGTCCCCTCTCAAGGCACCTCAAAGCAGTCAGGTGAAGCACCCGGCGCAGCCCTGCCCCAGGCACCCCCACCCCAGAGCTGCAGCTCTGCTCTGCAGTTCTTCAGGGCCAAAGCCAAATCTTGACTATTTCAGGACCCTCCTCACCTGAGGGTCTCCTTTGCCATTTAACTACTGCAGGTCCCAGCTGGTCTCCACTTGCCAAAGGACCTAAAGCATCTCAGGTTATCCTCCACATACACCCTGAGGTGCATGGTTCCCCCCTCCTGCTTCAGCCTTCCCGGCTGCTTCTAACTTAACCAAGCTGTTTCTAAAGCCCCATCCTCGGAGATGGTTTTCACACTCTCCCTTCTGCCGAGGTTCTCCATCTGCCATAAGGACATCAAACGCTGCCCTAAGAGCACTCACTGCCACACGTCTCGCTCCACAGCATCTCTGCTGCATTTACAGCCTGTCCGGGTCAGCACCCTGCAGCTGGCCAAAGACTCTGTCAAGTGGCAAGCAAGTCAGCGCCTGGGTGCCAGTAACACAGTGAAACCCCATTTCCAGCCTGCCTCAGTCCTGCCGGCCTCGGCACATCCATTTGACGGCCCCAGCTCCCTGCAAGGCTGCCCAAAACCCAGGTCAGGAGCCGAGGCAGGGCTCCCTGGCTGCGGGTCAGGCTGGGCAGCGTGGCCGGGGCCGTATCCGCAGCGTGTCCGTGTGTCGCTGCTGTCTGTTCCCGGCGCAGGAGCAGGTTGCTCGGCAGCATGATGCCATCTGTGCCGTCTCTCTCCTTCCCACGGTCAGGCACTCTTCCCTCATCACTTCTTGCCTAAGAGGCTTTCATCACTCCTGATAATTAGAGGGAGGCTCTCCTTCACGTGTTGAAGTCCCCCCCCTTCCCCGAAGCGTGCCGGGAGTGCAAGAAGCCCAGCCAGGCAGAAAACCGATGCTGGGGGTGCAGCGCAGACACGGACCCGCAGCTTGCTCCCCATCTGCCTCCTCCCCAGCCCTGCCCGCGGCCAGGTGGAGACGAAGCCCAGGCTGGGCAGGGGGAAGGGGGTCAGACCCACCGGCGGTGCCCCCCTTGCCTCCTTATGTCCTCGTGCAAGAGGAGCGGCACCAGCCTCAGAGCCGCATTTCCGTGCAAAGCGCCCCATCCCAAAACAAGTCCAGGCTTGCTGCCAGCCTGCAAGCTCCCTGAGAAAGAGCAGGCAGCCCTGCAGGCAGCAGGGCAGCTCTGTCCACCTCCGAGTGACCCAGGGACAAAGCCGGAGCCTCCCCACAGCCTCCACCTCACTACACAGCTGGGTCAAGAACTCCTGACGTTGCTCCCCTCCACTTTCATAACCGATCCCAAACTGGCTAAGGCCGTGCTAGGGAAACGCCTGACGTGGCTGCAGAAAAGCAGCAGTGCGGAGAGGGCGGCAGGACAGCGAAGGAGCATCCCAGAGCTGGGTGCATCTCCAGGGTGGGTGCAGGGCCACAAGCATCGCTGCAGGACGGCGCGGGTGGCTTCGGGGACCGGCTCCTCGCTGAGCGTGCGGGCAACTCTGCAGAAGGCATCTCCAGCCACCACGGCGAGGTCGCAGCTGTCTCCATGTCCAATCCGAAGTGATGCTGCAGCTGATGGGAAGCACGGGAAGCCAGCGGCGCCGGATCCAAGCTCCTTGCTCACTCTTCTTCCCACACTCTCTCCTTCCCGCGCTCCCAGCCCCAGGCGTGCCATGTGCCCAAAGGAGCCCTGTGCTCTTCAGTGCACTGAGCGGGGAAGGCAGAAAACAAAACCGGCGTCCGCAGGGGTGAGTTAGGGCTGAGCAGCAAACACGAGAGGGATGGGGGGTGTGAGCATTGCACACACACGCGTGCGCGCACAGACACTGAGGCTATTCCCACGGAGCAGCGCGTTCCTGGAGGAAGGACACAGAGCGAAGCGCAGGGAGGAGGGACGGGGGCAAGCGGAACGGCACCAAGAGCAGAGCAGGGCAGATCCATTGAAAAGGGAAATTATCAACACGGTGCTGATGTAAACAGCATCTGTGTGCGTACAGCACAGCCCGCCTGCGAGCCCCCCGACTGCTCCTCAGACCTCCTCTTGGCAGGAGGATGCATCCTTAGCGAATATTCAGCTCCGGCATAGCCTGCATCTGGAGCAGCAGCTGTCAGGGGTGAGGGGCTGAACTGCAGCGCTTTGGGCTTTATAGCCATCTCTCTGCCCCAGGGAGAGGGGGAAATCCTGAAAAGCAGCGGGAACAGACGGTCAATGCCCCCCAGGCCCCTACATGGACCTACAGGCAGCCCTGCCCGTCCCGACGGGTGCCCAGACCCAAAGCCGGCAAAGGCGTGGGGTGGGAGATCAGCTCTCGCCTCCCTCCATCCATGCCCATCTCAGTCTGTTTCTGCCATTTCTTTCACGCCAGCCCAATGCTTTTCTATCCCTGCTGGGTTTTGCCAAGGGCCTTATTCACAGGGTAGGGGTTGGGCACACAGACCCGATGCAGGGTGGTCTAGGGCATCCACCATCACACTGGCTGGAGGATGCAGAACCAGGCTCTGGTTTTTAAGGTAATTCACCTGAAACACACTCAGCTGCCTCCCCTCACTGAAACACAACACCAGGCTGTACCAACCCTCCTCATTCACAACAAACGTGACATAAACCAGGTTATCCCAAGCAGTCTCTGGGGCCATCCTACAGGATTTTGCACCTGCCCTAGCTCAGGAATACACTGGGATCTGTTACCGCCTCGCAGCTCAGCCGTGCTAACTCAGATACACTCACTCAACTGCTTGCAGCCATCTGTCCATGCCTTTGAAAAGAAAGCATCTGTAAGCATCTGGAAACGAGCAGCACTGGGCCAGCGGAGAAGCAGCCCCGGCGTGTGCAGGCAGCTCGGCAGCGCGGGCAGCCTGGAGGTGCAGGCAGCTGGAAAGGCTGCAGCGAGGAGCCCAGCGGCACGAGGGCTGGCATCATCCCACGGGCACCACCGAGTGCCTCGGCCACCAGAGCAGCCCAGCCCTGCCCTCCCAACACAGCCCCGCTCCTCCCAGCCCCTGGGACATGCACTAAAATCCTGTTTACTTAATGGAGGCTTATAGGGAAAGCCTGACCTGTGGGACAGGGCCACAGCAGAGTCACATCTCTCTGGCCAGGAGGAGTTAGAGCCGCTTGGCACATCTGCCACTTGTTCCAGCCTTGGAGAAATTCAGCACCCTGCAGCTGATGGGACCTGGGTGTCACAACTGTCACTGCAGCAAGACACAACCATGAGGCTGGTAGAATCATGACCACCTCCCAGATAGGAGACACAGCACAGGCGTGCACCAGCACAGGTTTCCAGGCTGCTTGGATCCCCTCTTGGCATCAGACCCGCTGCCATGTGATTTTCCCCCTTCCCCTGTGCAACCACCTGGATTTTTGCTTCCACATTAAAATGGCTGGTCATCCTGGTGGGGAGACTGGTGATGCACTGGGCATGCCAGCACTTGAGAAACCAGCAGCGCTGCAAAACCTACCCATAGCATCGAAGGAAGCACTGAAGGCTCTCATCTTCTTCCCTGTCCCCCTCCACTTGCCAGCCCCCCTCCTGCAGTCATGCTCTCCAAAAAGCCAAACCGCAACAACATTTACAGAGCAGTTTCCCAAGGAGAAACCCAGAGAGCAAACATGGAAATAGCGGGAAGAAATACATCTTGGTATTTCCTGGAATTGCTCGCTGGCTTTCCAGGAGGATTCCCCACTCGCCCATCTCACCAGCAAGTGCGGACTCTGCCAGAGGCAGGCAGGGAGCCTGGTGTTACGTCTTTATCTTGAAAGGGGACTCATTTTCCCACCAATGCTTTGAAGAGGGAGTTTAACGCTGACAAAGACGACCTCAACATCTGCCTGCACACGTGCTGGACACGGGCTGATTCATTAGACGATCAAAGGCGGCGAGCGGTCTTTAAATGTCTGCGCTTGATCAGTGCCCCACAGGAAACCCCCAAGGGAACCCACCCCAGCCCCTGCCAGAGGGTTTTCCATCCTGTCCTCCACGCCAGGAACCAGAGCTTGTCCCCAGGAGCTGCAGGCGAGCCTGCATGGGCAGCCCTGCTCCCCGTCATGGGCTGGCAGCGACCCTCAGCCACCCAGATCCCCCTTTGCAAGGGACCCATTTTTCTGTATCAACCTCCAGGTTTCCACTCCCCCGTTCAACGCATCTCTCGCAGCTCAGCCAGAAACATCCCCTGCCTGATGAACGAGCCTTCAAGACCAAGATGCCCAAAAGATGCCACTGCCTGGAAAGGTCTGCCTGAGCCCCATGGGAGCTCTGAGGCTGACGGGGTGTGGTACACTGAGCTGGGACCCCCAAAAGCTTACCAGGTGACCCTGCTGGAGCAAGGAATGGAGCCCCAGAGAGGGTGCGAGTCCCAGACCACGGGTCCCAGGGACCCTGCATGGAGAACTACCCTGGGAGTCAGTGATGCTGGTCTGCGATGGGGACAGTGCCCTCACACCGGGTGACACTATAAAGCCCTGCAATAACAGATGAGATAGCAATGGGGCTCTACCTGGAAGGCACCCCCCCCAGCCTGGACCATCACAAGCCAAACATACAGGCAGCACAACCTCCCCTGTGCCCCTCCTTCCCTGTAGGAGAAGGGATTAGACGTATCTTCCCTTCTGCAACCCCTCCCTGGACCAAGCTGGTTCCAGCAGTCTTTGAAAATGCATAGGAGGAAGAGTTCTGCAGGGTGGTGAGAAACAAGAGAGCCAGGATGCTCGCACAGCAGTAGGACCAGCCCCACAGCCTGCAAAAGGGCTCTAGCAGTGCATTTTGCTGATGCCTTTCCAGATGTCTACTGAAAATAAGAAGGGTCAGACTTTCCCCGGCGTACATGGTGGAGCTGCATTGGCCTTCCTGGAGCTACCCCAGCTGACACCAGTAAAGAGGTGCCTTATAATCCTCCCATCTCTCCACAACCATCTGAAAAATCTCGCCTAAATGTTTCGTCCTCAGCTGAGAAATGATTCGACACACAGGCCTCTGGCTTCCAACCTAAGCAAAGCTGCCCAAATATAAAAAGAAAACATAATGCACAGTGATCAGAGATCTCCACAGGAAAAACATTAGCCTCGTGGAAAAGCATATTGTTCCTAATACAGAATTTATCAGGCTGACGTATAGATTTTCCTCCACAAAATATGAAACCTGGATCTGAAAGGCTATTAACTCCGAAGAGATCCATTAAAGACGCCTGTCTGCAAATGGTATTTAAAAGTATTGCATCATCCTAGGTATTGTCATGCTCTTTGGCTATGACTCAACTGCAGGTCACATAGTTAAAACTGCCTCCAAACCCTAAAATTCTTGACGTAAAGAAAATAATAATAATAATGTTCACCAGCCTAGAACATGGACTTTTCTATCAGCTCCAACTGAAGCCCATAAATATTAATGCATCCATAATTAGCCTTTTTAAATAATGCATCCAAAATTAAACATCAACGCAGTAATAAATCAGTCAGGGCTCTTTGTTGTAGGTTTGTTTGGGGGAGAAGGAGGGGATGGTGGGTTTTTTTCCCCTCCTGTGTCAGGCACATAAAATAAAATGCCAATTCCCTCACCACCTCTTCCCGCTGGACCAAAATGCTGGAGCCCCGATTGGACCGAATCTGATGCCATTTGTACTTAAAACTCTTCTTTCTTTCATTTAGAAAAATAAAAGTCACATCTGCTTTTTGATTTGCAAAATAATGACATGCAGCCAGCCCGAGCCAAAGCTGAGCTAACGTTATTGAAACCACACGACGTGAAGGGAGACAAAGCTCATCTCAGAGTCAAGGTGAGGGAGAAAGTCAAGTTTGCAAACTTTCTCCTCCCTCGCTGGCACAGCACTCCCAGGAGCTGAGAACTGCTCCCTGTGCAGAGTGGGCAGGGCAGAAATCCCTGTGATGCACAAGGTTTGCAGGGGCTCTCCTCTGATGCATCCCCCTCGGAGCTCACTGCAGGTACCCAGCCAGGGCACCCGCATTTCACCTGCTTTTTCCTGATCAGCGTGGAAAACCCGAACAGGCTTTGGAGGAGCAACCTGCAGCAGAGCCTCCCAAGCCAGGCTAGACACTTTGCAAAAAGCCATCCAAAAGAGATCACTCTGCATTTGCTTATCTATAATTACTGATCAGCCGGAGGCCACCATCCATGGGAGGTTTCTGGCAGCGTAATGAAATCGCTTGCATTCTTGAGCTCCAAATTCTTTGCCCAAACACACCCCAGCATCTCCTCCGAGACGTTCCCACAGCAGAGCCATCTCCCTGCCACTCAAGCACACGGTCCGCAGCTCCTCATCAGGAGCTCGCTGTTAGGGGCTTTAGGCACCCTGCTTAGACAGCACATCAATAATCCACACCTCCTCTATTTTATCACATGCATATATCAAACTGCCTAAAAACCCGTATGTGGAGTAGATTTCACGGCAGCCTGACAAGAAAGCAAATTCACAATTACTTCCAGTTAGGAAATTCTTGGGTAAACGCCCCAGGACATGCAGCATGTTCCATCTCATGTTGCTGTAACTTTCCAGCTCACTCTCCAGCAAGCCTGGGAAGCAGGTACAGTCGCAGGAAAACACAGGCTTCTCCTTTTGCATCGCCAAGTCACTCCTATTAACTGTTTCCAGGAATAACAAGATGCTTGGCATTTTCGGTCACATGGATTGCTACAGTCTGCAATGCAGTAAACTCGCTTTTTCTTCCAAAGCTTTGCCAAACCTAAAGCCCTGTTTTTAAGTGAGGTTCTGCCCTGATGCTACACATTCCCACATGCCCAAACCAACTGCGGGTACTCTGGTCACTGTCCCAGTTTACAAGGGCAAAAGGAGGTTTTTCACTGCAAACACCACTGTACTCGACTGCCCTTTCCTCTTGCAAGATCAGCACCCACAAAGCTGAGATCTCTCTCCCAGTCTCACATTATCCCACCAATCTGTTCCCAGAGCGCTCTTGCAAAGCGCAGGCCACTTACGACTGATGGACGCTGCAGTTGTAGAAAACAAAATCCACAGAGGCAAACTTCTTCCCCGTCTCCTTCGATTTCAGGTAGAGCTTCACCACTCGCTTGTCCCCTGGGAGAGACCCAGGCAGAAAAAGGCATCAGAAAGGACATGGTGCACAGCCCAGCATTCAGCCCAAGGCTTGTGATGGGCTGGAGGGAGCTTGGCACGACCACTCAGCCCAGTTAACTAACAAAATCCCCCAAATTTGGCAATAAAAAGAGTGTTCACCCACCCCCACTCAGCCACCAAACAGGCCAGCAGAGCCCAAGTACAGCTCTGAGCCCCTTCAGTTAACTGAAACTTGCTGGCATGGAGGCAGGTGCCTTCAGTTGTACTGGTGGTACTGAAGGGGAGCTTAACAGTTCTGGGGTCAGCAGAATGTCCTAGAGCCCACGGCCACCTACAGGATATCTGCCCAGGAATGGTCCATAGGCAGGAACGAGGGCAGGGTGCCCAGGACTGGTGCACAGACAACTACAGTGTCAGCAAGTAGCTGTGCTCATGGCTTGGAGGAGACCAAGGACCAGTCGCCCGTGAGCAGCAATGTCCTTCTCCTACACCCCGAGAACCCAACTCGGGTCCTGCTCAGGGGCCAGTGAGTGTTGTCACAGGAGGACTCTCCTCCTCTGGATCTGCCTGTAGGGCAACAAGTGGGACAAGGTTTGTCTCGGGGTTTCTTCCCGCCCCGGGCACAAGCTCACCTCGGCCCCTGGTGATGGGGATGACGTCCTTGGCAGAGGGAGAGCTGCAGTAAATCTTCCCATCTTCAATGCGGCTCTCGGACTCGGTGAAGTCTTCAAAGGAACAGTTGACTCCTGCTGAGAGGTCTGGGACGTTCCAGGCCTGCAGGACCAGCTGGGGAAGAGAGGCAAGAGCATCAACACAGAAAACTAGCGAAAAAGACTCCTCTGTGTCAGCTATGTGTAAGTCCAGCCAGCAGAAAAGACCAGGGGTGCAATCCCTCCTCTGCCACCCACACGTGGTGAGGAGACCTGCTCCAGGCTTTTGTAAGTGAGCTCCATCCATGGACCTCCCTGCTCAAGCAAGGAGCGCAGATTTAAACGGGTTAAAAGACAGAATGACTCACAGCCTCCCATCCTCTGCCCTCACCACACCATAAGCCGTTACACCTCATCTCTCTACAGAGGCAAAGCACAGCGCTGGGGCTAGAGTGTTTCGTGGAAAGGCATCCGCTCCGGCAGAGCTGAGGAGGGGAGGAATCCACCTATTCCTTCGCAAAGTCATTCCCAGGGTCAGCACTTCTCACTTTACAAAACGCTTGCCTTATTTCTAATTTGAATTTTTCACAGCTTCCAGCCATTAGTTCTTGTTATGCCTTTCCTTGATAGATTAAAAAGCCCTTTAGTCCCTGATATTTGCTCCTTGTAAAGGCACTTATACTCTGTAATCAAGTCACCTCTTAATCTTCTTTTTGATAAGCTAAGCAGATTGAGCTCTGGAAGTCTCTCACTGCAAGGCATTTTCTGCAGCCTTCAACTCATTTACATGATGTTTATGGGAGGTTTTCGGCCTCTCCCTTTAAAAGCTGGACTCCAGCCCGAGCGCAGCATCCCCATGTCAACGACACCAGATCTCTGCACAGCATCCTACCATCGGTCAGGGAGATAACCACCTGAGAGGTCAAAACACCGCCCAGCTCCTGGCTTCACCCAAGGAGCATCAAGAGCCCCACAGCGAGGGCTCAGCCCCAGCACCACTTTCGAGGACGCTGGGCAAATGCCCGTCTTCTCCCTCCATGTCTAACTTTAGACTTGGCAATATCAAACTCCAATTTCCCTGCTAGACCAGCACCACTCAAACCCAAGGAAATCTCTGCTCTGAAGGAAATCTCACCCCGTGCCACCCCCTCAGTCCCAGCGGGTCCCATCCGCAGCCATCTCGCATTTATCTCCACGTTACCAATGAACGTTAGCCCCTGCAGAAGCACTTTCCAAACTGTTTCCATCCGGTGACAATTCCTGTCTGACAAGGACTTTTTGAGATCTGTCACAGAGCCAGTTCTTAATCCACTTAACATGTGCTTTATCAATATTGTATAATGCTAATTTTTCATCAGAACGTTGTGTTGTACCAAGTCAAATGCCTTGTAGAAGCCTAAAGACATCACATCCCCGCAGTCCCTCTTCTAATTCAAGTCATAATTGCATCAAAAAACAAAATGTGGTTTGTTTGACATAAAACCATGTTGACTGGCATTAATTATATTCCTATCCTTAAATCTTTATCAGTTGAATCCTGCACCAGTTTTTTTCCTTCAGTTTTTCTAAACCTGACATCAAACTAAGAAGCCTCTGACCATTTGGTCCTTTCTGCATCTGGGCAAAAAAACAAGCACCTTTCCTGTTTCCGGGGCTTTTCTCAACATTCATTTATTTATCACAAAGTCATATCATTACAAATATCCGCAGGCCACGGAACTCCTTGGCCAATTCTTTTAGGACTCCTGAGTGCCAGATATCCAGACGTGGCAGTTTTCAAAACTTTATTGCTAGTATATGCTGGTTTGTATTTTCTTCACAGTGCTAATGGCCTGGAAAATACTTCGGGGAAGTCCATCATCCTTTCTGTCTGCACAGAGAGAGCAGCAAGTTGTGCATTGAAGTCTCATCCCAAAATATCTACTGCAGGCCAGGGTCAGAGACAGGCTATTGAGCTAGATAGATCGCTGGCCTATGAATTGCATCTCTGATGTTGGTGTTTGTATTATGGAGAAGTATTTATTGCTCGGTTATGTCTGTTCTGAATAATCATCAACTGGTTTGTTATCTCCATCAATAGGCCAGCCCTCGTCAATGCCCTGCACTTTGCTGTGTTTTATTTGTCTCGGATCTCTCTTCCCCTTTCTCCCTCTTTGTCATATACTCATTACTTATTTTTAATTGCCACATTTGCAGCCGTTGCCTCCAGAGGGTCAGGAGGTGGCTGCCAGGGGTCTGCGGGCAGCAGAGGTGCCTTACCGGGACCTCCGACATGGTGACCGAGATGTTCTTTGGCTGGACGGTGAGCTGGACGCACTGCCGCAGGTCGGAGGCGAAGCGCTGGGGCTCGTCGGCCCGCTCACACCGGTCCTTGCGCGAGCATCTGGAGGGGGATGAAACCACCACGGTGAGGAGGAGAATCCCCCAGGGTCCTGCGTGGCTCTGGGCTGACACCATGGCAAACAGACCCTTTGGTATGGAGGTGATGCCCAGCTAGGGACCTCGGATGCCTGAGGCCCATATGGGAGCTCTGCTTTCCCCTGGTGCCAGCACTGGGGACTTCTGGGGTCTTTTACGTTCAGCTTTTCTTATTGGCACAAGGATGACGAACCCGGGAGCCCGTGGGCAGGATTAAAGGGGCCCTGCTGGTGGCTGCACTGCACATGGGTGCTCGTGAGCACTGCCCGGGTACCGTGGGAAGGGATGACAGACCCTTTGCACCACTCCATCCCCTCCACGGTTCAGAACTGAAGTCCAGGAGATCTATCCCTAAGGAGACCAGCGGTGGGGACGGACACGGTTTGCAAACCATGGTTTGCTGGCGCGGCTCTGGGGCCGAGCCTGCAGAACTTACATGTTGTGGAGGACACACCAGCCGCAGTGGGGGTCCCGGGAGCCCAGGCACAGCTCACAGCTCTCGTACTGCTCGCAGCTCTCCACCGGCACCCGAGTCACCTGTGGGGAACAGGCAGGGAGTGAAGGGGGACGGGCCGTGTGTTTCTCCGCTGTGTCCATGCCTAGACCCCACCAGAGATGGGACTCACCCTGGCCCACAGCTCCCGCCCATTAGAGAGGAGGCAGCGGCGGGGAGCAGGCTGAGCCCCCACCATCACCCACTCCTCTCCCGGGAATCACATTTGCAGGCAACATTTCCACCCCAGGGAGGCTTTTACCCCAATCAAGCTCCTTCCACCATTACATCTTTGCGGGGTTGTGGGAGCAGGCTGTGCCGGCTCAGCCCCGCACCAGCCAGGCACCCCACAGCTGCTGCAGCCCTGCTCTGGAAGGGTTACCAGTCCTTTATTAATTGCTCCTCCAGATTTGATTAAAATCCCCTCATTCTCCTAGCCCTCCGAGCTCTGTTACAACTGTTCATTTAATTACTTTCCACCAGCACTCTGATAACACCAAGCTGTAGTAGGGAAGAGAGTGGGTTTTATTAAGGAGAGGGGAGGAGAAGAGGGGGGACGGGGAGGGGGTGCAGGGAGCTGCCTGCTCGCCTGCTGCGAGGAGCTGGCAGCACCGAGCAGCTGCCCGCACCTGCCGCGCTCGTGCCTCAGTTTCCCCACTGCTCCCATAGGGCAGGACTCGCTCGTTAATTAAAATTTGCAAACTTCTCTATCGAAGGCTAAACCTGGGGTGCTCTCCCTCCTCCCAGCCCAGCAGGGCATGGGCTCAGCATGATGCCTACAGGGCTGGGATAAGGCTGGCCAAACAGTGCCCTTCGGTTTGCATACCGATGAGGATACCTGTAGCATTCCATTTGTTTGTCCCTGACATTGCTTCAGGCAGGCTGTGGTGAGGGGGTCGGCAGCAGGTCCCCCCCAGGCAGAGCCCACACAGGCATGTGCCAGCTCCCAGCAACCGTGGTGGTCCCTGGGGGAGATCCCCAGTCCAGGTCAGCATAACCACCCCCCCCCCGGCATCCATATCTCCAACATCTCCCCCACAGAGCAGAGGCTTAGCTGAGCCAGGGCTGGGACAGAAACACAGCCCAGGACAGCTGCACGGACAAGCCCAAACGCAGTTTCTGCCTCGCCTGGAAAGCTGCAGATTTCCTGCAGGGGAGCAGAAACCAGAGACAGGCACTGGGAGGAGGAGGGAAAGGGCTCTGCTGTCCCCACGGGGCTGTCTAGACAAACGCACGGCCCTACTCCAGCATCCTTCCCTCTCCCAAGCCCCCGGGCTGGCAGCCAGGAGACCTGTTATGCTCCGAGCTCCGGTGCGGTCCCGCTCACAGATACCTCCGCTGGGCAGAGGAGCGGAGATGCTGCAGGACACATCCAACACCACGTCCCAGCACGGCCACCCCGTGTCACCCCACTGGGCATGGCTTGCATCCCCGCTGACAGGGATCCAAAAAAGTGCCACCACCATGGCGTGAACCTGCTTCACCTGCTGCAGTGAAGGCCGTGGATGGATGAACTTGCACCAACAAGCTCACGCACAGGTCGGGGATCACGCAGACACTCACAAAGCCAACAAAAACTTCCTACCATGAGTCCCGATCGCACTGCCAGGACAGCAGCGCTGGATGCGGATCAGGTCTGTGCCTCCGGTTGGCTCAGCGTGAGCAGAGGCAGGGACCAAGAGGTGCATGCCAGGGTCTGGGGACACACCAGCGCCATGTCCCCTCCGCCCCGAGATGCAAAAGCAGCCACCCCAGAGGAGAAAAACCCATTTGGAGCAAGGACCTTCTGCTAACCTGCAAAAACCCTGCTCAGGAGGAGATGGCCAGAACAGGGAGGAGGTTTATGGCCAGCCCCTGGCAGCAAGGAAGGGTCAGGAAGTCCTTGGTCCCCAGGGACCATGGGGATTTCAAGCAGCTGCTGCTAACAGTTAATGCCCGGGGCACGGCCCCAGCGAGGAGAGGAGCAGCAGGGCCACAGAGTCAGTGCCTCGGGGCAGTGTTTTTGCAGAGAGGAGAAGGGAGGAGCTGCCTCCCTGCCCTGGGACAGGAGTCCCCAGGCAGCCCTGACCCCAGGAAGCAAAGGCCAGACCCCACCGGGGAGACACCCGAAAGGTTTCCCAGCACATGGGACCGCAGGCTGGGGCAGCAATGTGAGCTGCCGAGTCAGGAGAGCAGAGGGGCTGCTGTCCCCTCCCCTTACCTGTTTCTCGGTCATGGCGTAGATGTGCTGGCGGTCAGGACTCAGCACCAGGTCTCGCAGGATGGAGCTGCCCTCATGGGCCACGACGTTCTCGTACTGCAGCACTTGGTGCTTCCTCTCGGCCGGCAAGTCCACCAGGATCTGCAGGGAGAGCAAGGAGGGGTGAGGAAGGTCCCACGTGCACCTCAGCCCCCACCCACGGAGTGGGATGGGGAACGTGCCGCGTTAGGGATGCCGCCCCTCCGTCCCATACCGGCGTGGCCACACCACAGCCACTGCAGCACATCAAAGTAGCAGCCGCTCTGCAAACATCCCGACCCTTTCCAGAAGGCCAAACTGCAACGTTTTCTTCCCTTTTTTTGCATTTGTCTGGTGCATTCGCACCATGTTAATGCTGATGGTGTTCACCTCTCTCCAGGGAGGGAAGCCACATCCGTGGTTCTCACGCTGCACCCCTCTACGTGCTGCCCTGCTTCCCCCACTGCTACTCAGCCCCAAAGCCCCTCCAACTTGCAGCACGGCACAGACGAGCCCCCAGCTTGCAGCAAAGCATCAAACCCCATCTTGCCGCAGCGGTACTGAAAGCGGCTTCCACGCCGCACAGCACCAAGCCCCAGCCGGGCGGGATGCTGCAGCTCATGCAGGCAGGGCTCGCATCCCCCCATCCATCAGAGGAAATGCTTGGGCTCGTGACCAGGGAAGTCAAGAGGGTCTCAAGGAAGCTGGGGGTCAACAGAGGTTCAGAAAGCGCCTTTGTTCCCTGAGCAGGAACGTGGCAAAGGCTTTAATCCCCTTACAGCTCACTATTACGTTAAAGCTCTTCCTAAGTACACTGGTTTCTGGCTGTACCAGCAATAACCACATCAGGAGGCACCACGGGGCTGGAGGCACCCACCAAGCAGGGGCTAAACTCAGCTGTGCTACTTGCCATAACCTGATTGCCACCTCCATGAGCAAGAGATGCTTCCTGCTAATGCTATCACTTGTGATACCCCCAGACTCGGGCAGTCCCCCAGCACAGGGCAGCCTCAAGGGAGGGTGCTGGAGAAATGGCTCAGTGGGTCTGGTCTGCTCCCATGGGATGGGATGGGATGGGATGGGATGGGGGTCACGCCAGCAACACATTCTGCAAAAAACCCAGCGGCAGGTGGAGAAGCAGCGTGCCCAGCGAGACGGAGCAAACGGTGCCCAGGATCGGCTCCACACTGCTGCCAGCACATGCAGGGAGCCAGTCCAGCACCCCCAGCCACAGCACTCAGGATCCCCCCCGCTGCACGGGGCCAAATCCACTGCCTTGAAGCACCCCCCAAAATGCATCCCACAGCCCTGCCCTGATCATCACACCCACTCCTACGGCCCAGCACAGCCATGCCCGAGCCCTTGTGCCCCCCCACAGCAGCTGCCCCAGCATCCCAGCCACCTCGTCACCCTCCTGCAATAAATCGCCACTGGCATTTGCATAGTTCCCAATCAGGAAGATACGGACCGGGAAAGCAGGATCCCGGTGTGCAGCTGATTAGCATGGAAATGTATGCGGCTCACAAACAAACTGGGGCCCGTTTAATTAGAGCAGCGCCTTTGATTCACCGCCAGCCTCCTGCATGCACCAGCCCCGGATTATTTTTAGGCAGTTTTACAAAACAAATGTATTTAATTAAGAAAGAGACCCCTGAGCAACCAGAGAGCGTGAGTCCTGCACAGCAGTGAGCAAAGGGGCCGCCCTCTCCCCAGAGGTACATGGCAACTGGGCATGCAGGGCCAGGCTAACTCTTGGGTGCCCACGACACAGCCAAACCCCCCCCATACATCTTGCCACAGGACTGAAGAGCCTTTGCCATAACCCAAACTGGTCCTGGTACTTACCTGCCTTCTCAGCATCCTCTGCCAGACCCCTACACAGGCTGTGCTCCCCACCACCCCCACCCTGGGTACCACTGTGTGCTGGGGAACCCAGAGATGCTGAAAGCTCGTCCTAAAGCCTCTGCCTGCCCTTTTCGGGGGGGCTTTCTGCCCAGGTCCAGGACCACATTTGCTCCTACTCCAAACATCAGAGGAGGTCAAGCCCCAGACACCTGTGGTACAGGGCCACATGGCAGCCCCTGCCCTGCGGTACCCCTTGCCCAGTGGTACCCAGCATCACCCCCAGAGCCCCACCCTGCCTCCCCACATCCCCTTGCAGGTCGCCCTCCCCCAGCTCTCAGCTTCTCCCCTACAAAGTCCTGTCCAAGCCAGCTCTCCAGAGGAGGGTAGAGGGGAGCATCGCCCCTCCCCAGCAAGGCACCGTCTTCCCCCTCACTACGGCAATGTGACAAACGCACCTTTCCAACCCTTTTATGGGCCGCAGTTGCGGCACAGAAGAATCAATATAGTTTTACCCTGGTTCTAAAATAGATCTATGGCTGGATGTCGCGCTGGCAGTAATTTTTAACTAGCGGGGTAATTTCCCCATTACATTATTGCACTGCACAGTGCTGGGAAAGAGAAAGAGATGTATTAAAAAAAACAACAGACGTGAAGCACTTCCAGTTAATTTGAGGCTCCAGGAAGAACCTAAAAATATTCTCAGTAGTCAAACGTGGCTGGAGCCCAGCCTGCCACGTGTCAGGGTGCTCTGGTGGGGGGGCACGGGGCCACCCCAGGCATGCACATGTGGGAACCCTTCCCTCTGGCACCTCTCCTCCCGCTAAGGATGCTCTATAAGCGGGTCTGGGATCCAGGAAAATGAAACTTGGAAGACCTGCCAATCGAGTTGTTTTCTGGTTGGCCAAAAGGCAGGGCACTGAGGGGTTTCTGAGTTAGCTCGTAGTAGGTGAACCCATCCTGCCGCTCCTCCCCACCACAAGGAGATCACCAGCAGGTAGACCCCAACGTCATCCCATCCCATGCCAGGAGGACCCGACTGCTCACAGCACCCGCTGCCATAGGGGCAGAGGTGGGAACCCGGCATCAGGGCCCTTCTAGCTGGATTAGCCCAATGGGAACCTACCCATCCTGGCTGGCGGGAAGGGGACAGGCTCTTTGGACCACAACACGGCGGAGAAGCACATGGGATGTGCAAGGTGCTTCCCATCTCTTAGAGACGCTAAGAGGGACCACTTCCCCCCCTCTCCCCACACCCGCAGGGTAGCTGGGAGCAGGGGAAGGAGGAAAGGATGCTGTTTAATCAGAGCAGCCCCCTCGGAAACACGCTCCTTCCTGCCTACCCTGCCTGCCTTCCCACCCGGGGGAAAAGACATTTACCAAAAATAAATAAATAAACAAACCTATTAACCTTTCTCCTCATCCTGACGCTGATATAATTACCCAATACTAATAATTACTCACACTAATTTCTCACTCAGGATTCCTGCCCTCACTCTTGCCTGCCTCGGGCTGGCTGCAGGCAGCGGCTCGGCAGCGCTGCCTCCTGCCAGGGGCTGGCAGGAGCCCCGGGGGGTGGCCGGACCCTGGGACCGTGCCGAGGCGGAGAAGCAGGAGCGAGGGGCGGCTTGTTGGGCTGCTGCCTCTTTAAGCAAACGGAGGAGACCAGAGGCAAGAAATTACAAGCTCCCTGCTGGGGTGAATCATCTCAAAGCAAGCCCAGAGGCTGCTGTGTCAGAAACCCATGCACATGCCCCCCCCACCCAAGCGAGGAGCCCACCCCATGGGGCGAGCACCCGGCACGGCTTCACTCTGAAGAGGGGAGGGTTTAAGACCCGGTCCCCCAGAAGCCGAGCGGGCTAGTGGAGGCAGCAGAAGGCCAGGAGATGCAAAGGCATCTCACCTCACCAAGAGGTCCCTCACCTCCTAGGCCAGCCATGGAGAACCCCGGCAAAGGAACGATGAGGGAAAGGACGGCAGGCAACGCTTCAACCCCCGGACAGCTGGGTGGAACGAGCAATGGTGCACAGCACGCCCCGGCTGGGCAGAGGCAAAATCCTCCCCCAGGAGGCCCAGAGGGGGTTCCTCGGGGGTGGTCTTGTCTTGGCTGGAGAAGGGAGTTGCCATCCCATACAGGTTTTGGAGGAGGAGAGCACATCGCCTGGCTAAGAAGCGTGCAGTGGTGCGGGGTCACAGCCAGACAACAGCACCAGCCGGTCCTGCTGCTGCCTCGAGCCCGATGCTCCCTCACAAACCTCGGCTCTCCTTCACAAACCATGATGCTGAAGCATCCAGAAGCTTCTGCCGGGCCTGGGCCCCACCACAGCCAGTGCTAGTGAAAAGCCACTGCCCTGAGGAGCTCTACAAGACACGGCTGGGACCTAAAACCCATATGAAAGGCAAGGGGAAGCGAAAGCACCAGGAGGGCAGAGACAACACATCAGAGGAGACGGCTCCTTCCATTGCAGCACGCTTGCTCCCCTTGGCAAGACACCCTCCAGGCTTGTCCAGGTGAGGAGGCACCTCCCCGCTGCCATAACCGCTGCCCGACTCTCGCTCGCCAAAACGCCAAGGGGAAAAACCTCGCAACGTCCTTACAGCCACCAGCAATGGGCACGAGGCAGAGAGGAGCATCTCCCCAGGGCTGCCTTTTGGAAAGACGGGCAATGACAGGAACGAAGGGCAGCAGCCGTGACCTGGCAGCCACCCAGCGCTGGCAGCGGGTCCGGAGGAGGACGGCGGTGGAGGACGCGGCTTTACAGCTCAGCCTGGGCCAGGGACGCCAGGCGGAGAGGGAGGAAGCACAGCCGGAGAGGGAAGGCAGCTGCAGACATGCCAAGGCTGCTTTTGGATTTAACACACGCCGGCAGGAGCCTGGCTGGGGTCCGAGGGGTGCTGAGGTGTGCCACCGCCTCCCCACGGGACCAAAACCGTGTGCTTGGGGGCACACGTGGAGGGTCCCCAAGGAACCCAGTCTCACCGCAGGGGACACCCCCCAAGCCCACCACCAGGAAGAAAGGACTCTTCACCACCCCACAGCTAGTCCCTCTCCCTCCCCAGCCCTCCACCTCACCCCCTCCAGGCTCTCAAGCCCCCATCCTGGGTCCCAAGCGGTCCCCCGCAGACCCCTCCTCCGGGCAGGAGAAGTGCTCAGCCAGGCTTTGTACTCTTATCTGTACAGGGCTGTGATTAATTCACAGTGGCTGGCAGCAGCTACAAGAGGAGGGTGCTTTTGCCCGCCTGCCACACTTCAAAGGCAGGGACTTATCTGCCTGAAACAC